TGATAGGGATAAAGAAACAGTTATTTCGGTTGATGCTTCAAAATCGGGTGTTGGGGCTGTCTTACTACAAAATAAATTACCTTGTGCGTATGCCTCAAAAGCATTAACTGAAACTCAGACCCGATATGCTCAAATAGAAAAAGAGCTATATGCAATTTGCTTTGGAATGAATAAATTTTATGAATATGTTTATGGCAAAAGAACTATCGTGGAAACAGACCATCAACCATTAATTTCAATTTTCAAGAAACCATTGAATAAATGCCCAGCTCGTTTGCAACGTATGATGTTACAGTTGCAGAAATTTGACATCGAACTGAGGTTTAGACCAGGTAAAGAATTACTTTTAGCGGATGCTCTATCTAGAGCATACTTGAATGAGAAATGCAATAGTGACTTTGATTCAGAACTAGAAAATCATGTTTGTTTGGTCAAAATGGAATTAAATGCAACTCCTGAAAAATTAGCACAATTAAAATTGGAAACTGAGAAAGATTCTGAATTGAGAGACTTGAAAGAGATGATTTTGAATGGATGGCCAAACTCAAATAATAAAATTAAAAATCATTTAAGAATATATGCTAATTACAAAGGTGATTTAGTAATTGTTGATGGATTAATATTCAAAGATAACTGTTTACTTATTCCAAAATCATTAAGACAGGAAATGTTGGATCGAATTCATTGTAGCCATCTTGGCATTAATAAATGTATAAAATTAGCACAAGAATCGTTATTTTGGCCAGGTATGATTGATCAAATAAGACAAAAAATTTCTCAATGTCACAGTTGTCTCACTTTCGCTAACTCACAAATGAAAGAACCGTTAATTTCCCATTACATTCCAGATATCCCCTGGAATAAAGTTGGATGCGACATATTTGAGTTATACAGTAGAAAATATCTCCTTGTAACAGATTATTTCTCAAAATACGTAGAAGTTATTAATTTGGAAAATAATTTAAGCAGTCTTAATGTAATAAATTCTTTGAAAAGAATCTTTGCGAGACATGGCATTCCTTTAACTGTTGTATCAGATGGAGGACCTCAATTCTCTTCTAATTTATTTAAAGAATTCTCGCAAGAATGGGATTTTCAACATTCAATATCCTCACCCACTAATGCACAATCAAATGGATTGGCTGAGAGACATATCCAAACAGTTAAAAAATTATTAAAAAAAACTTTGGATGAACGAAAAGACATCAATCTAGCATTGTTGCATTATCGAACAACTCCAATTTACAAAAATATATCTCCTGCAGAAATACTTATGTCAAGAAAACTTAGAACTAATCTGCCAATAACAAGCCAACAACTAAAACCTATAGTTCAAAAAGAATATAACAAAAAGGTAATTACAGATAGACAAGTCAGTCAACAGACATACTATAATAGTGAAGGCACTAAATCACTAGGTATACTTGAAGATAATTTGGAGGTTTATGTGCAAATAGAACCACAAGGTATCTGGTATCCCGGAAAAGTATTAAAAAGAGTCAGAGATAGAACTTATATTCTAAAAATGAGAAATGGATCAATCTTAACGAGAAATCGTAGATTCATAAAACCAGCTAATCTTTCGAACAGAAAGAGTGATATAAATAATTCATCTTCTTCGAGAAATCAAATGGTGGAAAATAAGGAGACTAGGTATTTCATTGAACTCAAGAATAATGAAAACAATATTGGGGATAATGATAGTTCAGTATTGGAACCTGAACAGCATATAGTAGACAGAGATGATAAGACAAATAATTCTATATATTCGAGTTCAGATAAATACCTTGCTTCTACCTCCAATAGCGATCATAGTAGTGTCTCTATAAATAATGATGAATGTAAAGATTCAAGTTCAGAGGAGAACATTGTTGAAAAAGAAACAATCACCTCATATATGGTAGAGTTTCCAAGCCTCCTCAGAGATTGGGTCTATAATAATAATCGTGTTATATTTCATCTTCCGAAGGAGGGGGATGTAGAGTATCCTGTATATAGTTAAGAATTACAGATAGTAATCTTTGAAATGTCATGACATGGTTGTCAGGATACACATTTTGATTAGATAAATAAATAGACATTCAAATTAAATCTATTTGAATTAAGTCATAATTCTATAAATATTATAACATATTTACACGGAAATGCTTCATTTCGGAGATACAGAGTGTTGGAATACAGGGAACAAATCATTTTTCGATAAACATTTGATAGGAAAAAAGTAGTTTATTTTGACGAGACCTACCAAATACTTGGATTTGTTAAGTTCTCAGCAACTCCACTTAGCGCCCTAGAAGTAAGGAGTAAGTAACATGGATCGATATAGAAAATATCTCCAAAACGATAATGTCCAGCGTAATTGAGGCCCTCATAATAATTATTCCCTTGATACATAAAATAACTATTCACTTTTCACTGTTAAATTTTAAATTTGGTCGGCACCTCGGTCGGCACCAAAAACGCCATTCAATAATATATCACTTTGTAGTTTACTTGCTTTTCTTAGTTTCGTTTGCAAATTCTCAATTTCATTATGTAATTTTGTGATCATTTCTTCTTTTCCATGATAATTTTGTTCTGTATTTTGTGTGATGATAATAATGCAATTTTGTTCTCGAAATCGCCTGCTTTGAAATCGACAAACAGATTTCGAAATCTTCTGTTTCTGTTTGAAAATGGGCCTGAAATATTGTTTCATTCTAATCAGATGCTGTTATAAAAAGTGAATTTCAATGAGTACCTCACAAATTTCGCTCTTCCTCAATTTGATTTTGCACCCAGGCCATTTCATATCTTCCTTCCATAAGCGAATGGTTGATATTTGTTTCGGAAATTTGAATAAATGATATCCATTCTTTTCAGAATTGGCACAATTCATTACACAGCAAGTGATTTCCATAACTGCTTTTATCTCGAATGTATAAGTATGAAAATTAATTTCAATTCTGACGTTTATAAAATGTATTGTCAAATTCAAACAATTTTGAATGAAAAAGCGCGGGACGACTATGGTGCTCTTGTCACAATGCAAGGTGTGAAACTTAATAAATCTAAACATTCAAAATCCCTAACCGTTGTCATTTCTGTGTCCGAACTCTTATCAAACTAAGGCTATATTCCGAATTCAACTGACAGTACTGTATCTGCTGATTTTCTATTCCGAAACCAAAAAATTCATTGGACGTGACAGATGCTCGTCAGCAGACATACTATTCATTCCAAATATTTCGACTCAACATTCTGCTGGAATTGCTGAGTATCAAAAGGTAGTGTGGCTTCAGCGAACTGTCATATCACATCCAGTGACTCTAGTTATGCTTAAAATAATGACTAAGACTAATGAAACCTCGCGCTACGCGAAAGTCTCAACCTCAACTATGGAGAAAGATGAAATATCGTGTGATTCGTGTGTATGCTTGTTTCAAGTTATACGAGTCTTGTTTATCACAACAAGCAGCACAGCAGCATAAAATCATGCTACTATTTGCATGAATGGCGAGGGCGAGTGACATTTGTGACTGTGGGGCTTGTGACTTGTGGTAGACTGTGCCATTGTACTGATTGGCTTGTGGAATTTTTCACATTTTCAAGTTCTCGGTTTTCAGTTTTCACTAGGGTCCCTTGAAGGAAATTGACGTTAAAGTCATCTTAACAGGGTACGGACTCTCAGTAAGGACACATCCTCGTCTCCTGTCACTCCAAAGTGTTTGTGAAACGGACAACACAGATCAACGACACAGATGTTTGGCATTTGTTGTTTTTTTAGGTTATATTGAGGTCTGAGTCACTGCCGTATCATACGTAATACTCATATGGAATTCCTGATTCAACTATACCGAAATATAGAAGAACAATACTCTAGTTTTAGAGTTTACTACTCTAGCATAATTTTTGCGAGGTAGGGAACATATGAATTGTATTGAAAGCTCAATATATTTCACCAAAAGAGACTGTTCTCAGACTGTATACAAGGGTTGGATGAATTGATTGAATGAATTCTGATTTCAAACTGAGCAGTAGTTTATCTATGAGCTGAATGAGCTGAGCCGCATCTAAACTACTGTACTCATGTTATGTGTGCTAAATATATTTTCGGAAATCCAACTCCGAAGAAGAATTTATGGAGTGACTATTTGACTAATATCACACTATGTATAAAACTTCGCGTGTAGGACGAAAATTAGGCTGATAAAAAGTAATACGTAAAATGTGCAGGGAAATAAAGAATAGAATATACTTCACCCCCATGTTATACATATGATACTGCCGTCTCCCTTAAATAAAAAGTAATTTTCAAATAATTTATTGATGAAAGTAACAAACAAGTGGGTATACGCAGCATAACTTATAGGCACGTTATTTTCACTCTTGCATCCTACATGTTTTATATTTGTGGTAGAGTAATAATTATATAAACTAATGTCTTTCGCCATATTGGATCCGTCATCTTGGATTTCCCAATTTTGACGAAATAATCATTATCTCCTACCCCGAAAACCCCCAGATATCAATTCTGAATAGAATCGGATCTTCATTACAAAACTTGTTCGCCATATCCTCCTCAACAAGTAAAGTAGATACCTATTATCAAAATTTTGAATGATTTTTTGTAGCGCCCATGCCGCCCATGGATGTGACGTGCAGCGATCCTATTCTTCAACTTCCTACCAAGAAATTTAAATACCCCGCAAATGTGGCCTGAACCCAAGCCTGAACCTATATTCCATACCGGATGCATTATATACTGTTTCCATTTTTGTAGAATTACGTTATCCGATGGTGAATTGATTTCCCGTGTTCTCACAGTTGAAAACTGCACAAACTTGCGTCTTTCTCCTAATTTTCAATTTGTCAAACCTTTGAAATTTATGTCATGTACGTCCGTGTACTGTCAGTTCCCGCTTTTTCCATCAATTTATTTGTGGTTATGTCTGATTGTCAGTGCTTGTCATAGCAAAGAATGTCATAGTGTCCTCAGATGAAGAAAAAACCTCAAAATCAGCAGTGTCAAGTGTGTTCACTGTTCAGTTCATCTTCATAATCCCTGGTTCAAGTAACAAATCTAAAGAAAATCTCTGCTTTTTCAATCCCTGTAATGGCTCAAAAATTCAACGAATTAAGGCAACAATTGGACAAGTCTCTCCATGATTCATCCAAACCCTGGACACCTTTTTTAGCACAAGCAGAACAGAAAATCGGCTTGGATAGGGTTTACATTTTTATTGGTAAGATATGAAAGGTATTATGGTATTACTAATATCAAACATGCTATTCATTTGGTGTGTGGACTTTGATTAGTATTGTTATCTCAATTATTTACCATGGCCATGCTCCAAAATCAAGTTGATTACAGGTGCAGGAGCTCTAATTGGATTGTGGTTGGTGTTTGGCTATTTTGCTGAACTGGTATGCAACACTGTGGGATTTATATATCCTGCATATGTATCCATCAAAGCTATTGAATCAAAAACTAAGGATGATGATACCAAATGGTTGACTTATTGGGTAGTATTCTCACTTTTTTCAGTAGGTGAATACTTTGCAGATTTCATTGTACGTTGGTTCCCTCTTTATTGGCTAGTTAAGGTGAGTATTGGGACAGCAATTTATGGATTTCATCCTCAACCATAATTCAAGAAAATTTTTACATTATGGAAAAAAGAATTTGTTTATCATTTGATTTTGTATGATTGCAGTGTATCTTCCTGGTATGGCTCATGATACCTACAGATTTTAATGGATCTTTAATTTTGTATAGAAGAATTATCAAGCCATATTTCCTACAGCATCAGCAAAGTATTGATGATGTATTGAATAAAGCAAAGGAATCTGGTATGTAGCATAATCTCAAGTGAATTAAGATCTTTTATGAATTCATTTTTTAATATTCCAGCAACCAAAGTATTGGAGAAAAAGGATTAGATTGAAATATAGTGATGTCAGAAAGTTTGTGGCTTTGAATAATTTTTGGGAGTGTTTAAATTGTCTTTTATGATTTATGTATTGTTGATTCAGTATTTTTACAATCTCATTAGTTTTTGTGAAGAAGGTATTTGATTTTAAAAATATTAGGTTTATTTTTCACTAGTTTTTTAAGGAAGTATAGAGATTAGACAGTAATGATAACAAATTGTGATTTTGCATATTCATTTTTGAAAAAGTTTCTCATTTTTTTTATTTGTATAGATATTTTTAATTTTGAATACAAACTATTTAAATCTTTATGAGCTTGTTGAATATTTGAATATGTAGATAACTACTTCAAATTGAATCCAATATTTCTAGCTTTTGAATATTTGATAAATGTTATAAGCATGTTATTGTAAATGTATTTCAAATATTTTTTCAATACATATATTCTGCATAAAATTTCACCTATCAATTCTTGTTTTAATGAGGGTGGTTTCACCCTTCTACAATTTCTTTTAGGTTTCTTTGATTACTGAAAGAATAGATATCCACTGAAATGCACAAAAAATATTTTTTTTATGTAAGCTTGACCTTATATCCTGGACAAAGGGTACATATTCTTTTATAAAATTAGGTTGGGTCCAATCAACTAATTTTGAACTGTATTACATGTGGTAGCTCTGTGTCCCAGCAATTTAGGGAAACCCTGTATACCAAAATAATTTATCTAGGTAAACAAGAATAATGATAAGGAATAATAAGACTGCTTGGTGAATTATAGAGTAGTCATCATTAAAATAATCTTGATGGTCTAAATTTTCAAGGCAGCAATTTCAAATATCAAAATTGTATGTTATGAGGAAAGATGAGTAAATTAACCAATACCTAAAAAAAATCCATACTATCTCCATATTTCTCTTAGCCACTTTATGGCATATCTTGGAGAATTATGATCTCAGGGTTTACTGCCAGCTACCTAGTTAGTTCTATGAGTCTACTCCCTACAGAGAGGCCTATTTACTGCTCTTCAAAATTCTTTTTGGAATTCAACAATCATATTCACTATCAGATTGAAATTCACCAACTGAAATCATCACATTGAAAAATTGGATTTGAACTTGAATTTGAAGAATATTGAATGTTCTACACTGACTGAATTATATGTAGAATACTGAGTACCTGCTATTAGTCACTGTGATAATTGTTTGAATAGGAATAAATGAAATAAATTCTCTCAAAATGGGGGCATAGAAGTCATGTCAAAAAAATTCTCATACTCATAAGTCCAGACAACAAATTCAGATTCTACAAAAAATTGCCAACTAGAATTCAGCTATTCAACCTCAAATACCTTTTGTAGGGCATTCCTTTCAAAAATGCAAATAATAGCTGATCCATAAAAAATCAAGACCAATTTAATATAAAAATATATTTATGGTTTATGAATATTATGACCACTCAGGATGGTTTTAATATCAAGAAATGAATGATAATTAAATATTTATCAAGGTATTAATTATCTAAGCAAGACTTCAAGGAGCAATGTAGGTCCAAACTGTCAATAAGATATTGGTAGGCAGTTCTTTAGATGAAGGGGCTCTCTTGTTATAAGTTATCCTCTTTTAAGAATTCTCACTTTCCTTGAATTTACACTTTGTACATGTGTAGAAAACTGTTTGCCCCTCATCAGCAGAACGCAATTGAAGTGTGGCATAAGACATAGTTTCATTGCCACATTTGGGACATCTTCTCTCAACTATTGGCCCTTCATCTGGTTCTTCCTCAGTTCTTTTCATTTCATCTTTTATATTTTTCTTTTTTGCTTCCCTGGAGTTGAAATGGATGGTGTATTTAACTATGGATTGTCCGAAAACTATAAAAATAAAGAATGGTATTGGAATACTTCTGGCTACCTATAAAGAAAATTGCTTCTAACCCTCCTCTGCATTTCCTACAAAAGCCATAGAACATGTGTAACAAGTGATGCCACCTTTTTCTCGTAAAGGGGGTAAGATGGATCCACAATCTGGGCAAAATCCAGGGATTCTCTGGAACGTACTGGACATATTTCAAAAATTTAATAAACACGACCAAATGTTTTTCTAAGAGAAAGGTAGGGACAACTCCTAGAAACACAATCAAACACCAATCTACTGAAGTACTGAATCAAAGAATAATAGGTTCTCCTCTTTGACTGAATCATTAATTTCACCACAGTAGAGAGCTTACTTTTACTGAGATGTAATAAACATCTCAGTAGAGATCTCAGTTCTATCAAAGGAATGAGGATGAGGGTTCTATCCTGTTCTATCCATGCTCCATGCGTTATGCGATGCGTTATGTTACTAACCTATTATTCTTTGGTTATGCGTTCTATCAACTGTCAGTTTGAATATGACAATTGTCATTTTGAATTTTGAATCTGACATGAGGACATGATGAGTGATGACAATATTGACAATTAATTCAATTCAATGAAGTGACAACTGACAAGTCAGTTCAAAATATCAACAAGAAAAATAAAAAAAACATTGGCCATAATACGCCGCCGTATTTTATAAATAATACAGTTTGTGTAACTAAAATGGTAACTAACCAATGTTCATCATATTTCACATGATAATTTATTTAATAAAGTATATTTTTGTAAAAAAATCACAAATCCAAATCATCAGTACAATAGTGAAATAGAACTGAAAGCATGAAACCTCATTAGGTTAAATAAACAGATGATACCTGAACCTAAATTATTACATGATAATATGATAGTGCTCTTGCAATCATCTTCAATGCAACACAACTCATGATATTATATTCATTCAATATAGATTGTACTTGGGAGGAGTGAAAAAACACAAAAATGGATGATCATAGCCCATTAGAGACTGATGAACTAAGTGATTATGATATTTATGGTAGAACCCCTCCTAGGACCAAACTTTTGAGGAAAAATCGCGAAAGGAAGCAGCGAGAGAAATATATTAGGTTTGTACATTTAACAAACATACATAGATACCTAATCCTAATACCTAATTATCCAATATCAGCTTTCTTATTTATCTATTTGAAAGCTGTTGTAATCCAAATTTCAAACTTTCTTTTTTATGACAACTTTTGAAACCCCAGAAACAGTTTTTGTGTGGCATCTCATCTACAGATTATACTGTTATAAATGAGAATGAGATTAATGAGGATATATTGGATAACTTGTAGTATTATTGGTTATAATTGCACAAAATTACCTATAATTTTGCTAGAAAGTAGGTATGTTATCTAAAAATTGCAAGAGTTTATTTTCATATTTTGGTGGAAGGGCAGGAGTCTGAAGGAGATGGACTCTTTTACAAAATATGAAAATAACTGAATGCATTTGAATGCAGAATTATCCGGAATGTACTTCATTGAAATATTTCCAGAATAAATAAATTTTTGAAGGATGTTTTTTTTTCATGACAAATTCTGTAAATAAAATTTGCTATATGACATGCTTTCAAACCAATTTCAAACAGTTATGGGGATGGGATGTTTTCACAGTGCAATTACCACTGTAATTTTTTGATAATTTTGCATTGCTCTTATCAGAGATTTTATATAGGAGGGAAATATTCCAAAAAAATAATGAGTGATAGTAGGAGTGATATAACTAAATTCATTACAAAAGAAATATGTTTTTCTCTGGTAACAAAAGTTGTGATTATTGAGAAAAAGTAGAAGACACACAGAAAATCACATATTTTGAAAAAAGTTAGGAGCCAACAGTGATTTCCATTCAGAAAAATAGATTTGTGCTTTCAAGAACCTAATAAGGGCCATGAAAAGTTTTTATCTGGGAATTTAACTTCCACATGTTTTTATGAATGTAATGGGTGGGGGGGGGGGCTTCCATGGACAACCCTCAGGGCATCCATATTATTTTTAGTATAATCATCTCTCTCATCTTTTGAGGTATCACTATACTGGGTGACACTAACTCAATGTATACCCCCCTATTCTCCTTTGTTTTTCTAACTATATATCTGAAATTTGAAACAATGAATTTGCTCACTAGAGGGCACTTTCTACTCGTCTTTCTCACAGTTTAGGTTCATCTTCCAGTTTTCCTTGAACAACATGAACTTTCGATTTTCAAATGGAACATCATGTATTTTATCCCATAATTTGTTTGTATTATAAGGAATTCAACAACACCCGGTTTGATTGGGTTATTTCTGAGGTTATTTCAAAAGATTATCAATGAGTGTAACAGACCCATTAAGCTTATTAACTTTGACCATAAATATCTTTATAATCCTTTGAAATAACCCAGTATTGTTGAATTATTTATAATAATTCCTAACGGATTATAGAATGATATCCAGAGTGTTCCATTTAAAAATCGAAAGTTGATCATTTCCAGGAAATCCTGAGAATGAAAAAAATATCCTAAAATGTGAGCTTATTCCTTGTTCCAAATTTCAGAAATATAGTTGAAACGCCAGTCTGTGTCACCTGGTAGATACCTAACTTTCATGTTATGTCATAAATTATCATAATAGATAAAAACATTTCCAATGGACTGATTATTAAGCAGGAGATTGAGCATATACCAAGAAGAGTACATACCTAATTATCTACTATTATCTGTTAAAACATATTAATGATCTATTCAGATAACACATTGTGCATTTTCAGGCACTATTATGAGAGATGGATATGATTGTAATTCTTGTTTATTGATGAACCAGTATGTAAACCTATTTTATTTTTTCTATCCAAAACCGTTTGTCTAACAACAAAAAAAAGTCAAGAGGTTTTTTTTGTTAGCAACTAATAAGAGATTACAAAACTGATTTTTATTTTGATAAAAAACAGTGGCGTGTCATTTTTTAATGTAATAAAATTATATCATGGTCAATATCAACAGTTCAAAAAAAGGTAGGTGATAAATTATTTTCATTAAATTATAGAGAAATGTATCCTCTTTTGAAACATATGACAATTTATATACCATTAAATAAGTTTTTTTTGAAAAAAACTCTAAAAATTTGCTAACATTTCAGTTAATGCCATCTAGCGGCGACAGCAAAAGTCAAAAATTAAATACCAAATAAGCGTTTTGTAGGGCGAATTATGCTCTTTCATATAAGCCTAAGTTTGCTGAAATCGGTCGAAATATACGGGAGAAATCTTGGTTTGTTTAGAAAAACAATTGAACTTCCCCCACCGCTTTATTTTGATAGATAGAACAAAACGTTTCAGACAAAAAATGTAGGGAAATGGTCAGTTACTACGAAAATGATATCATCGATATACTTTCATTAGACAAAATTCTATAAAAATCCCATTTTTCTACTTGGTGTTGGTTGTTACGCCCTCTAGCGGACGTTGGACAAACTCTTTTGGCGACTTCTATCATGATTTTTTTTCTCAAATCTATACGACCAATATCTTATGAGATATGGCCGCTCGCTACCCTTAACTGATCACCCTGTACATACCTGATGAGAATACATTTTTTCTAGTTTCAAAATTTTGAAATTTCAATACAGTTTTTTTGTTACACAAATAGGGAAGAGGGTATAGTAATCTTTATCGCTTTATTTTGAAGTATTTGTAGTGGTATCTGGTATTGCATGTGACTATGAACTAGAGAGAAGTATAATGATCGAAGTAAATATCAAATAACTCAATCTCCTTAAGACTCCGACTGGGGCAGCTAATTTCTTCTTTATATGTTATGTGATTATTCCATGATGGGTTAGGATCGATGTACAGGGTGTCCAGAGATAAAACCGACAAAACTTATAGGGTTATAGGGACTGCCGCTATGTTTGCAAAATGCCATATACAAATGTCCAGAACCGCTTCGTTACTGTCATACAGTGTGGATTTTGACAAAATTTCAATCTGATATATTAAATATAGGGATTACCCGATTGGGTTCAAATTAGGTATATGAATTAAACTCAAAAGCGTCAACAAGTAGCCTTCTGAACGAAACCAATATCAGGACCGAAATAAATATTTTTTTTATGTTGAGTTATTGTTAGAATAACTCACCCTGTTTAATAATTATCAAAAATCTGAGGTCTTATTATGAATCTACGGGAAAAATATTATAGGAACTTGTTGAGAAAGTTTCTGGCAAAATTTCACTTATTCCGTAATAATGTATTATTTTTACTTTTTTCATTAAATTGTCGGATAAAATATCAGCAAAAATGGAAATATAATAACGACATATACCGGGTGATCAAGATTCTGAATTCTGCAACCACCCTGTATTTGTTTCAATTAAATGTCAGTAGATAGTTGATCAAAAGTTGAGATAGGGACATGTGAGCCGTTTTGACCAATAATGAATAGTTTCGACTAAAAAAATTCCCAAAGTTGAGAAATGTCGATTTTTCACACCCTATATCTCTGTAATCATTTCCGCTAGACCCCAAGTGTGATACATCGATGAAATCAGCTCTTCAGAGAGAATCTGAAAATGCAATAAAATACAGGGTGTTCCATTTAAAATAACAACGTTGTTGCTACTTTTCGATAGAAGCGGCAACGCCGCAGAGCTGAAAATAATTTAGATCGATAGACCAAAAGCAACTACGTGAGTAACCAAAATTTCAGAATGATCCTTTGTCCCGTTCTCCATAAACGTCTAACGTACCATCGACCGTGAGTTACCCTGTATACGAGGACTTCTTTGCGTTCATAGTCAGTTTGTGAGATATAAGCCATTTTGATAAAATTAACAAATTATTGATCATATCTGATCTAATGGTTTCAATTGATTACCCGAAATAAAGAAGAATTGTATCATCAGCTTATAATTTTATTGGGCCTTTAAGGTTCAGTTTTGAAATTGAATTGATGTATATGAGAAATAGTGTTGGTCCAAAGGATAAAACCCGAAGTCATCAGATTTCAGGATCAATATATAATATATAGATTCCTTGCCCCTACATTCATTCTGAATTATCATTATTATTATCGTTACTTAAGTATTATTATTATATTCATTGTCATAATTTATTGAATAAACGTTATTATTATTATTATTATTATTACTCTTTATTGTAATTGTATTCTTTGAAATTTTCAGTGTTGCCTCTCCCAGTAGTAAGTTGGAGAGATCAAGAACGCCGTTATTCCGCAGATTTACAGAAGGCAACATGATTGACGAGTTGGCAATTGGCGAATATAGTGACGAAGATGAAGGTAACGAAGTTAATCAATAGACATGACCTAATGGGCTTACATCACAAAAAAATTCATTTCATAATTCGATAGAACTCACCCAAACTAGCTCACCACCGCAAACCGTTTCTTGCTGTGAGCTCCCTACGTTGTATAAAAAATTATTGAAATCCCCGATTTTTCGGACCTCTGAAAACGAGGCGATGATGTGACGTCAAAACCCTAATACTGAAACAAGACTATTCCAGACAGAGATGAATGATACATGATTTCTGACAGAGTGAATTAGCGCGAGATCACAGTTGAAAGAATTAATATATCAGTTGCCTCAGTCTCCATCGAGCGTTTGGTATTTTCTTTTAACTATGGCGAGATGAGGTTTCTACGTCATAAGAGGGTCCCGTTTTCAGAAGGTACCATTATTTATGTCCAAAAAATAAAACATTCCAGTTAATTCTTCGATCGAATTATGTCGTCAATCAGTATTTTTGTATAAAAGGATCATTATAAACATGGTTTGAGTTAGGTGTACACGCCCATTCATGTATGAGGTGTTCCATCTTCAAAATGCTATCATGGTTCAACACTCAATATCTCTATGTCCTTGAGTAAAACCTTCTATTTTATAATAATGAAAAGTGATTCTCAATGAGAATTCGTCGTTAGCTCTTCCAGAAAAAACCCTGTAGCAGTTTTTGCCATCAATCATTCAAAGAATTTGTGATTTATTTTCATAAGCACACTATATTTCAGAACGATGAAAATCGGCATGGGTGTATTTTAACTCTTAACCCGAAGTATGTGTCTGACAGACACCTTCTTTCAACTTTCTCGATTTTGAGCACACTATATCTCTGTAATAATTCTTGCTAGACCCCAAGTGTGATACATTGATGAAATAAGCTCTTCCAGAAGAATCTAATAACGCAATGAAATACAGGGTGTTCAATTTGAAGTAACAAAGATGATGCTACTTTTTGGTAAAAGTGGCAACGCTGCATCGCTGAAAATATTTTGAATCGTTAGATCACAAACGCTTATTAGAGTAACCAAATTTTCGGGATAATCCAATGTACCGTTTTCCGTATACGTCTAAGGTACCATCGACCGTGGGCCACCCTGTATATACTTCATTAAGGTTATCTTTTGTAATGTTTCGAAAAAATAAGATTTTTTGGTATAGATCTAAGGCAGATGTAGAACGCCAGACGTCGATGCTGCTATTTCTGGCGTTCTATAGCTGCCTTTTATCCATATTTTTTTGAAAACTGACAAAGATAAATACTGTCACTGGATTTTTCTTTCTCAGGCTCCCTGACAGAAAAATTTGTTGAACTCATTTTGGGGCAAATCATCTGATTTGTCAGAGGGGTAGACAACTCCAGCAAAATGTGTACACCATAATCAGTAGGTACTCAATTAATCAACTGTACTGAACCTATAATCAAATGTAATCGAATACTCAAAATTGAATGAACAACATCTCAAATGTAATCAACAAGTCTCAAATGCAGTTCGTTTCAAATGTAATCAAATAGTCTCAATTGTAATGAAAATCATCTCAAATGTATTCAAAATGTCTCAAAATTCTCAAATGTCTCAAAGAGTACTCAACATAATTAAATACTCAAGAGTCTCAAGAAGTCTGAAAATTACTCAAATTTAATCAACAGCTACTCACTTATCCAGTGTACACCAGTCTCAACGAGTTGTCTACCCCTCGGATTTGTCCCACTTCAAATATATTGAAATAATAGGCATATTTTTATTTTATAGAAACGAGGAGAGAAAATCCCAAAAATCAAGTAGGATGACAAAGATAACCTCAATAAAGTAAATATATTTGAAATCATAAGGAAGAGCTCCACCGATAAGGAAAATGAAATACAGGGTTTACGATGTTTTTTTTTAACCTTCTAGTACTGACTTAGACTCTGAATGCCTATAAAATATACTTCATTTTTGCCCATCTTAACTTGAATATTGAGATAGCTATTGAGTAAAATATAAACAATCACCACAAAGGGTCACAAGCTGTAGGGTTACATTCGAAAAAATCATGTTGAGGGTGCTTTCAGCTACCCCTGGAGGGATATATTCTTGATAGTGCTTGCAAAAAGTAGGTAAATACATTAAATCGTTGACGTATGTCGGGACTTCCTTGAAAAAATGTTCACCTCCCCACTTACGAATTTATTCCAGTTAAAGTCTCCACACTGTATGTATAAAAGCATTCTCACCTAATTATTCATGATTCCGAACATTCCTTTATAAATTCAATAATTGCTTTTATCAGTAGTGAATTATGCAGTTCCAACTATATTTGGTTCACAGTTGGGTAGATTATTAATGATTTGTTGGTTGCATAGGCATACATATATACGTGTAATACATATTGACATTAATTATTTACATAGGATAAGAAAATGTTAAATCTTGAAGGAATTTCTGGAACATATTACGAATTATTTATATTTTCAGCATGAAACCGGAAAACAATCCAAATAAGTCAGTTTCTGAAGGTACAGATCGAACCCTATAACAAGCCTATAACTTATTTGCAAATTAATTTTTTTTCTATCTTCAGTAATAAAGTCTATACAAATCATTCAAATATACGGAAGTACCTTGTACAGTTTATCGTGATGTCTGTTTATTTGGAGATACAGAGTTTTCACATTAGTGCCGTACTTTTTTTGTGAAATAAAAGATGCCGCAATTTCGTGAGTATGCTGAGAAAACGATAACCATTTTGCACATAATATCATCAATGTCAAAATACGCAGTAATATCTCAAGTAGTACCTGATCATATTGTGACCTGACTCTTTTAACATCAGTTCTTTAAGTAAAACGTTTTACATCTTGTCGATAGGTTCAAAGGTAGCCAAGATAAATGTGGTGCTCGAATAGTGAGAATACTCAAACACCACTTGAAAGGGCTCCGAGGTCGACCTCAATCCAATATTGCGAGCGCTCAGGCGGCCATTTCGGAAAATGGCGGCCATCATTAAGACTCCCATTTCCTATAACGCCCAGTTACCAGATCGAGAGCCACAAGCGGTTCATGAGCGGTTCAAAGCAATAATATAACCAATTGGTGCTTATTAAATGAAATTGAGTCACAATTTTCCCCCAAAAAAATGGAATTTAGTCATAATTTTTCCAAAAAAGTTACGTATTCGGTGTGACTGAAGTATCTCTAAACAGACACTCTGAAGCGGTCCATTCCATCCTTATAAGGACTGTATGAACTCGTTTGATTCCTATAAGGATAAAGTGAACCGTTCCTATGTTACTCTATTTCAAAGCAAAGTTGCAATTAACTAACAGATACTAGGGTCCCTTGATGTAAATTGACGTATTTGTCATGTTACCAGGGTACGGACAGATCTTCGCCTCCTCTCACTCTAAAGTGTTTGTGAAACAGTTATATAATTCCATCTTTATTCATTTCTGGGAATAAACACTAGATTTCTGACATTTGTTGTTTTTCAGGTTATATCGAGGACATTGGCGTATCATACGTAATTTCCACATGTAATTTCTCATTCAACTCTACATTTATATCCAAATGATGATGATAATTTTCGAGTTTTTGATTTTTCAACTCCAGCATAATCTTTGTGAGGCAGTGAGCGAATTTTTTTGAAAGTTTAATACGTCTTACCAAATGGGACTGTTCTTAGGCAGCACCTATCAATAAATGAATTTTAGCCTTAGCCTTATGGTTGAGAAATGGTGAAAAATGTTATGTAGGTATCCAAACTAATGTGCTCAAATGTCATGTGTGCTTTTGCAGTTTCTCACGAACACTTAATAGTTCCTCAATGTAGGAATGTCATTTTTTAAATGGTAGGGCATATGCCCCTTCTTTTAACCCTCCGTTTTAATCTAAACTGTTTCTACTAAAATGTTTTCAAAAACTTGTGGAGTGGATAATTATGGGCACAATGAGAAAGTATAATATGTGATTTCGTATTAGGTTTACCTGGAATATTTTGCTGATGTATTTACCAATTTTTATCCATTCGGTCACTTCACTTTCCATGTTCTAAGTTCATTTGCATTTGATGGAAAGCTGACAAATTCAAATTTGCCATCCAACTGATTGATACAGCCTAACGCAGCACATTTTATCATCCTTCCAAAACAGAATTGAATAATGTCGTAATAAAATAAAGTATGAAATTAAAATTTTGAAAGATCTCTTTCAACGCCTATGAATGTGACGTGACAGCAATGTCATGTCAGGGACGCCAATACACGAAACCTAAGTCACTAGATGATTAAAAGAGAAGGGAGCTATGATCTATCCGTACCCTGTTAGATGACAAATACGTCAGTTTGCATCAAGGGACCCTAACAGATACTAGTCAAATAAATTGTAATATTGATGTCAACTAATTGTTTAATAATCTTCCAGAAAGGGCATAGCGTTCAGAAAATAAACCACTCGCATGTTCAAAACAATCTAGTCCCGTACTATATAATGAACTATAACGCCACATGAAGCTGCTAAGGGGCTTCGAGCGCGATCTCAAGCTCAACGTGGCTAGCGTTCAGGCGGCCATTTCGGCAAATGGCAGCCGTCTCGAAGACTCCCACTTCCCAATACCGCCCAGCTACCAGATCGAAAGCCACAAGAGGTTCATGAGCCTGGTGGCCGAACAATTTCAATGCATCCGAATTCTATTCATCCGAAATACTAATGACAGCATTCAAAACGACGTAATTATGTGACATGACAAAGAATATGATAGCTTGTTTGCTATTGGTTTTTTCATGATTGTTATTGATCACTTGACGGATGCATTGAAATGCCATTTTATTTGTCTCAGTCCCGAAACGGACGAACAAACGCCGCATGAAGCTGATCAGGGGCTCCGAGCGCGATCTCAAGCTCGACACAGCTGGCGCTCAGGCTGCCATATGGGAAAATGGTAGCCGTCGCTAAGATGCCAACTTTCCCATAACGCCCAGCTACCAGATCGAAAGCCACAAGAGGTTCATGAGCCTGGTGGGCCGAATAATTTCAATGCATCCGAACTCTATTCATCCGAAATACGAATGACGGCATTCAAAACTTGACGTATTTTTGTGACATGACAAAGAAGATGATAGCTTATTTACTGTTAGTTTTTTCATGATTGTTATTGATCACTTGACGGATGCATTGAAATGCCATTTTATCTGTCTCAGCCCCGAAACGGACGAACAAACGCCACATGAAGCTGCTCAGGGGCTCCGAGCGCGATCTCAAGCTCGACATAGCTAGCGCTCAGGCGGCCATTTCGGAAAATGGCGGCCGTCGCGAAGATGCCAATTTTCCCATAACGCCCAGCTACCAGATCGAAAGCCACAAGAGATTCATGAGCCTGGTGGGGCGCACGATCCCGTGCAAGCAGAAGGCCTGCTCCAAGGAAGACAAGCGTTACCCGGCGGGGTTCGGGGTGCTGGAGGGGAGCGGGGCTAACGGGGGCGAGGGGGACGAGTACTTGGCTCCCAGGGTCGAGTTCTATCAGACGCTGAAGGCTCTCATCAGGATGGGATGCGGGGAGAGGAATCCGAGGAGAGCGGTGAGATTTCTTGATTGTTTGTTTAGAATTCTGAATTTTTTTGGTAATTTTGCTTTTATCATCATGCGATGAGTTTTTTTCGTTAATTTCATTCTTATGTAGGTGCTTCCTTCATACAAAACATTCACAAGACATTCAGTAGAACAAGCAACCCTGCAGCGGACGAAAAGTTTGTGTCTGCGGACAAAAAGTAGTTGCCTTCGGAAATGGTCGGTTTTTTCGTTCGGATGTCAGAACGTAAAAAGTGATTTTTTGTAGAGGTCGATGAAAAAAGAATTTTTCATCATTATTTCGAGAAGATATTCATTTTAGAGAGAGTATTGAAATTTATGTCATTTTTGTTTCCATGAATAATAATGTGCAATACAATTTTGGATAATATCTTAGCTTTTTTATTCATCCTTATAGAGTTCAGAGATATGCCGTGGTATAGTATTATTCGTTTTTCTCAAAAACGAAGCAAGATACGAAAAAATAGCAATGGACAGAAATGTTGTATTTTGAATGGGCTCATCTGAATATTCAAGAAGGACCTGAAAATAAAACACAGAGTGACTTTTTTTCTACTAATAAAAGCCGACTTGCTCGATGGGTGCGCCCCTGGAAATTCTGGATGAGATATAATTGGTCCACAATTGAGTTAACAATGAAATACATAATTATGAGATGTTCAGAACAGAGTGGTGCATAAAAAGCATTGATTATAAATGCTACAGCTACAGCTAACTACAGCTATGATTATTATTTTATGCCAAACTGACAGACTTTTCTTCGCTATCCATGGTTACATCGTTGGAAACACCAACGCTGATAGACCAATCAGAATTGAAAGACAGCTAGTGTTTTCGCCATAACACCAGTTGTCTCTGGCTTGTGATTGGTCAGAATCTGAACTGTCACAAGAGTGATTATGATATATGACGGGAACTAAATGCTCATGCTCCATGGGATACAATTCATTTTTTTAAATGATTGATATTCTTTCATTCTGAATCCTGAGACTGAGCTGATCAAAGGGAAACTGAACTCCTGTATAATGGGAAAGTTTCCTATATTTGGATTTTTATTTCTTCATGAAGCTTATGAAAAATAATTGCATATTATGTATCCTTCATTTTTTCCATGAACTCACACTTTGCCTATTCTGGCAATTTAGTCATTCTACTGATGTCATTATTGAACTGTCATGTTCACAGTTCACACAGAGCTAAAACGCAATTTTGGTAGCGTGACTGTGACAATAGATTTCCACTTATAATGTATACTTTCGACAGACAGAGAGAACTGACAGTTCACTTGGAATCACCACCAAGCATTCAGTGAGAGAAACGACGACAATAGTTTCTTATAAAGATGAGAAGGGCAGTAATATTGCTGAGGATAAAAGGTTATCGTATTTCGGTCGAGTTAGTAGGTTATATCGGTAATGTTAAATGAAGCTTCGTTTTTGAACAATTTTTGGATACCTTTGCTTTCAAGCATTCGTGTGCCTGCCTTTATTTTTTGTATTCAATGATAATGGATTAGGATATTAGTGTTATCCTAATGGTATGAAAACACTTGAATAAGTTGTTTAATTTGATTTTCACCTACTAAATACCCCATTATATTCGATAACAATATTGATAATGAACAGATGGTAACCTTTATCTGTTATTTATAGTCGAAATTTTGGAGTACTGTAATATTCTATATGAGTGTTTACAAACACATTTTTTTTTTCAACCACCTCAACCAGGTGTATTGGTTCCCGACATTCCTCAGCATCGAGGTAAAAATGGATAAAGAGGCGATACAAAACTCGTCCTCCCCTATTTTTTCTAATTCATATTCTGCACTAATAATTACGTGAGCTTTTCTGTGATTTCTTTTTGACTCGTAGTTGACGTCGTTATCGCAGAAAATTCATTACCATAAGTATGAATACGGTAAAATATCTCGAAAAATATACGTCGAAATAAGAAATAAAAAATACTCATTGAATATTTTGACTAGGGCTATTAAATAACATCAAACTCAACAACTCGAATATACTGAATGGATATCTGATCATTACATATTCTCATTCTCCAGAAATTTTGATTTAAATTTGATAGATGAAAAAAAAACAATTTGAAAATATCAATGAATTCGATTTCTCATGAAAACATGATGAATAACGGTGCATTCTGGAAAAAAAATGTTTTTTTCAGATGAGTCGTGAAGAGACGCTGTGGCAAAATGAATTGAAAGATTTAATATGGCTTGAACTTCAAGCATATCATGCTGACAGATCCCCTATTGAGGAAGATGACTACTTATGTACTGCTAGAGAAAGTGTTGAACATGTACTTGCCGATATCAGGAATTATAAGTTTCAAAGACACAGTAGAAGGTAAGATAATCACAGTTAATAATAATGTGAAACAATCTCAGTTTTTCGATATATCAGTTTCTTTCAGTAACTACTGATTCAGTTATGTTAAATATGTCTGATTGAATACCTATGTTGAATGTGTTTTTTTATATCTATCTTTTATCTCATTGGTGTAAGTTCCTTATAATTTACATAGTTATAGGATGTACCTAAATATTTATTGAAAATGTAACTTCCAGTCAGAATCAAGTTCTGGTATAAGGAAGTAAAACTATACAATTATAAAGAACTCATAAATAATATAAATACACATTAAGTATTAAATTTTGACAAATCATTTCATAGTGATGAGCAAACATCAATTTGAATCGGAATCAAAAGTTGAAAAAAAATCATCTAAGTATTTCATTAAGAAATTATGAATTTCTCATTGTATTTCAACAATTTTTTATATCAGAGAAAACAAAATACACCAAGTCGGTCGACCACAAAATTATATTACACAATTACTAGTGTGACTAGTTTCGGCTAAACAGCCATCTTCAGACACAAATTGAATAAAGTACCTGTAAGAGATGACATTACAGACGAACAATAAGTTTGCTGAGGAAAAAACATACCTAGGCCATGTGGTGATTACAAATTCAACAAATAAAAATCAAGCGGTTATTTCAACGTAAATAATCAGTCCGGTAAGGGGGTGATTAAATTTTTATAACGGCTGAACAGCCGAACCTTATAATCATGAGGTCCAACATTGGCACGAAAAGAATTAGATATTTAAATTCAGTCAACTGAGTTTCATCTTGGATGGCTATTGAAAGACAGAAATCCAGGAATCGCCGAAGTAAGCAAATGACAGTGACAGCATGACAAGACTGAATGACAGTGACAAATTATACAATTTTTTATATTATCTGGTAATTTGTTGTATTCGAATAGAGCAGCGTGGGTGAATCTTTTTTGACCTAAAGAAGAATTAGCAATATCCAGATGAAATAAACCATGTTGTCTAGTTCAATTATCCGGAATGTCATTGTTTTGTGTTGAAATAAAATTGGATTTCAATCTTTTATTCATGATATTGTATGTAATTTTCATATTTTCAATTTTGAACATTTTTTCTGATTGTTGGTGTATCATATGATGATAGTAGGAGTGCCGATTTCTACCGTCATCGGATAACGAAATGATATATGTCCTGAAGGAAAGTAAAAACATTGTAGTTCATCGAACGGCACCTGTGCCAATCACTTGGGATATCTTCTCAGGACTCCAATAATAGGAGATATAATTGTCGTCCAAACTCTCATTAGTTTGTGTCAAAGATTCATTTTTAATTTGAGATTCAATAGAATGTGTGCTGAAATAAATCGAGAACAATGATTTATTGATATATTATAACCTTCGTGGAACGTTCCGGCACTGTTGCTAATACGTTTCACCATGGCTTTATAGATACAGAAGGCTGTGATCGCCTAATAAAAGAGCTTTTTCATGTATTCATCATCCGACGTCTGATATCCAATATGATGATTCTAAATTTTTCCTATTGGTCAAATATTCTTAATGACTAGGCGGTTTTTTTTTTTGGGCGAAAGTTTGTATTTTTTACGACGTCGGATAGCCTTGTTGTCTTTTTTTTGAATTGACTCGGCCGTTACTTGATGGAAATCCAATGGCCAATGTAAAAACTTCACAAAAGATAAGAAGAATGTTCATTGTACCAGTATATCACCTGACGAAGCTACTGTGTTAGCGAAAACATGTTGTGTGTTTAAGAATTTTGTGGAAGTCTTATCGTTTGCGAAGTTTTTACATTAGCCTTGTTGTCATTGAATATTCATGATCATCATAACCTCTTATTATGACCTAAAAAATAATTTTTCTTTGGCGATCTGTCATAATAGTGTTGAATAATCATGAACAGAATAACAGTAAATACGTCAAAACGTCAACATATTACTTTGTAACATAACAAAGACGATGATAATTTATTTACTGTTATTATGTTCATAATTATTATCTTTTCAAGATATATGACTGATCGCCAACGAAAAATCATTTTTATAGGTCATAAATATGAGGTTATAAGAATCATGGATATCCAGTGACAGTGACAGAGTCATCCGTCTATCAATCGGCAGGGAGGTCGAGTTCTCATCACACACCAGGCGGCAGAATCCTTCCAATTCCCGAAGTCACTCGAAATCATGCACTATACGAAGCATAGTGAACAGGATATTGGCCAGAACACAACTCGTTAGATTTCAATTAGTTTCAGACATCTTACCATCACAAGGCTATCATCGTATTTTCAACAGATGGTTACTTAGCATAAAGATATCATCGGCTCATTACCAATACCCCGGCATCGTCACTTTCCCAGACTTTCCTGCACTAGGCCGGACTTTGTCCAGTAGTTCAATGTTTGCTGGGTGGTCAGATAATGTGATGAGTGAAATAGTCAATTTAATTTGAAAAGGCTAAAGATATTGTTACGACCCTGGCAATCGATCCCAGCTACCTGCGGGAATGTAAACAAGCCATATTTCTTGGAATAGTAATTAGGTGATTCGACGGCTATTGAGATGACTCGAGAAGATTATCGACCTGTTCACGATATTTCGAGTGGAATCTAGACGTTTTATTAGGTAGTATAAATAGTTGTTGTTAGGGACAGGAAGAAAAGTCTTTATTTGGAAGCGTTATAATAACGATCGAAGAAGTGTTGTGAATCGGAAGTGTTTAGTACGATTATTGTAATTATTGTATAGTAGTGTTCAGAATAAATCGTTTTAAGTGTTATACCGAGTGTTAAGTTATTACGGACCCAGAGTAAAATCGTAACAGTGGTGTCAGAAGTGTGGATTTTTCGAGGACATTTGAAGACGTATGGTGAATACAAGGAGTACGTCATATGACGCGATGGAAGACATTTTGAAATTTATGCAAAATCAGTTCGCGGAACAAGAGGAACGACGACAGAAAGAAAAACAAGAGGAGGAGAAACGTCGTCAAGAGGAAAAATTAGAAGAATAGAAACGTCGTCATGAAGAAAAATTAGAAGAAGAGCAACGTCGTCAAGAAGAGTTACAGAAAATTCTAGAGCATCAAGAAAAAGAACGAGAACATCAGAAAATCTTCTTCGAACAAATTCTGCATAAAACTGATGTGCAAATAGATGAGTTGAAGACAGATTTCACCAAAATTGACGACAAGCTTAACCAGGAAGTTTCAAGAATAGATTCCATGTTCGATACAATCAAAAGAGATGTAGCGAATCAGATCGCCTCGCTACGAAGTCAAGATCGTCGTGACAGGGTTGCCACATCGGGTTCTTCCGTAAAACCACCAACTTTTGATGGACAGTCGCCTTGGTCTATGTATCGCCGACAATTTGAGGCTGCAGCAAGTGCAAATGGGTGGAGTGACGAGGAAAAAGCTACTGCACTCATTGTAGCTCTGAGAGGACCAGCTTTGGGGATGTTACAGTCGATCCCAGTGGAACAACAAAACCACTTCGGATATTTAGTGGCTGCGCTAGAACTCAGGTATGGTGACCAACATCGAGAACAGCTTTACCGGGCTCAGATGAAAAATCGTGTGCAGAAGTCTGGAGAGAGCCTACAGGAGTTCGAAGCAGATGTGAGAAGACTGACTCAATTAGCCTACCCAGAGGCACCAGAGGACTTCAAAGAACAACTGGCGGTGCAGGTATTCATCGACGGGCTGAGAGACTCAGAAATACAGAAGACTCTGAGGCTTACACACTTTAAGAGGAGTGGTGAAGCCCTAGTAAGATCTCTGGAGGTAGAAGCGGCCTTCAACACCTCTAGGCCAAAAGTGAGAGCTGTGTCCATCGAGGAGCCTTCCGAAGACGTGGACCCAGTGGCGAAAATGTTGAGAAAAGTGCTTGAGGAACTCAGAGAAATTAAGAGTGGGTCTGGTAACCAGCGAAATAGATCCTGCTATCGCTGTGGCAGAACTGGACACCTGATAAGGGACTGTAAGGTGAGAGTACCACCACGATCTTCTTCACCTGCAAGGACGCCATCACGGTCGTACTCACCTGCGAGGACTAGGTCATCTAGTGAGTCCTCAGATATATACCAGGAAAAACTAGAACTAGCCAGCGTATCGGGGCGCATGCTGGCTAGTAATAACGAAGCCCCCAGGGCCATTAACATCAAAAGGATAAGAAGAACAACTGATAGCCTGACCATCAAAGGAAAACTACACCAGAATGCAGATGCCATGTCCAGAAGACCTTGTTCGGAAACCTGTAAGCATTGTCTGCGCATTGAACATCGAGAAGGAACCGCTGATGTTAGAAAAACCAGACTTGTGACCGATGATAAGTGGACAGCAGCACACATGAGACGAGATCAGGAGAACGATCCGAATATCGCCGATTTTCTACGTTGGAAAGAAAGAGGAACAGGAAGACCGACATGGAAGGATATCTCGGATAGAGGACCCGTTTTCAAGGCGATGTGGGCACAATGGGACTCACTAGTTGTGGAGAATGGATTATTGAAGCGAGTTTGGGAATCAGCTGATGGTAGATCAACAATTTCTCAGCTGGTTGTGCCCCACATCAGAGTTAATGAAGTTCTGGAAGAAGTCCATGGCGGAAAATCTGGTGGACATTTTGGAGTTAACAAGACATTGAGTAAAATTCGAGAAAGATTTTACTGGGTTCAATGTCGTGACGACGTGGAAAGTTGGTGTAGAAGATGTCCTGTATGCGAAGCCAGCAAAAGTCCCAGAACGAGATCAAGAGCTGGAATGAAACAATACAATGTGGGTGCTCCGTTTGAAAGGATCGCCATCGATGTAGCCGGACCATTCCCTTTGACCGATGATGGAAATAAATACATCTTGGTTGCTATGGACTACTTCAGTAAGTGGGTAGAAGCATACGGCATGCCAAATCAAGAAGCCTCCACAGTTGCCAGGATATTGGTAGACAACATGTTTTCACGGTTCGGAGTACCAATGGAATTACATTCTGATCAAGGGAGAAATTTTGAGTCGAACTTATTCAAAAAGGTCTGTGATCTAATGGGAATCAGTAAGACGAGAACAACTCCACTACATCCACAATCCGATGGCATGGTCGAAAGATTCAACCGAACTATGGAAGAACATCTCTCCAAAGTAGTCGAAGAGCATCAGAGGGACTGGGACAGGCATCTTCCCTTATTCCTGATGGCGTATAGAGCAGCTGTCCATGATTCAACGAAGCTAACTCCAGCTAGTATAGTCTTTGGAAGAGAACTCCGCTTACCTTGTGACTTGGTGTTCGGTTCACCAAGTGTTGAAGAAAAGGAAGTACAAGACTACGCAGATGAGCTCCGGAATGGCTTGATGAAAACTCATGAGACTGCTCGGAAAAGATTGAAATTAGCAAGTGACAAAATGAAGGCACGGTACGATCTCAAAGCCAATTCAGAGGGATTCTTTGAAGGAGATCAAGTTTGGCTGTATAATCCTCGACGGAAGAAAGACGTATCACCCAAATTAACACCATCTTGGGAAGGACCGTATAAGGTGTTGAAAAGGATCAATGATGTGGTCTATAGAATCCAACGCAGCCCTAGGACAAAGATGAAAGTCGTTCATCTTGAAAGACTGAAGCCTTATCATGGTGAGGAAAGTTCTGTTTTTGATCGGGACGATCAAATTTGAAGAAGGGGGTAAATGTTACGACCCTGGCAATCGATCCCAGCTACCTGCGGGAATGTAAACAAGCCATATTTCTTGGAATAGTAATTAGGTGATTCGACGGCTATTGAGATGACTCGAGAAGATTATCGACCTGTTCACGATATTTCGAGTGGAATCTAGACGTTTTATTAGGTAGTATAAATAGTTGTTGTTAGGGACAGGAAGAAAAGTCTTCATTTGGAAGCGTTATAATAACGATCGAAGAAGTGTTGTGAATCGGAAGTGTTTAGTACGAGTATTGTAATTATTGTATAGTAGTGTTCAGAATAAATCGTTTTAAGTGTTATACCGAGTGTTAAGTTATTACGGACCCAGAGTAAAATCGTAACAATATATTCAATTGCAGTAGTGATATTCATGCGCTCTTATTTAATTTACCAAGTACGGATTCATTTCAAGATACTCGACACAAAACAGCGACAGCGGCGTCGAAGACGACTGCCCGGGCTGCCTGGCCCTCCTCTGCCCCTCTTGCCTAGAGGCGCAGAACAAGGCGTTCAGAGACGTCGAAAAGCTCCTCAAGCGATTGGAGGAGGCGGAGAACCTCTTTCCCTCCAGCAAGGCGTTCGCGGAACTCTATCCGATCTACAGTTCCGCGGAGTTCGTCGGCAGAGTGAAGGCCATGTGCCTGTGGTACAACATGACGAAGCACCAGAGGTTGAAGCTGAACATTCTGGGCAGGTTGGTGACGCTGGTAGAGGATAAGCACGGCAATTGGTTGATGCCCGGAGATGAAATATATACAGGTGAGTTGAGGAGCTCTTCCGTGCATCTGTTGTCGGATACTTCCAAAATGACTCAATGGGAGAATTTGCCCCTAGATGCCAACCTAAAAATCGAAGAAATATTATGAAAGTTTCTTCTGAAGTAGTCCATACTCGAAGTGGAGGAGGGTGATCAACGAGAAAAAAACTCAAAGTCGTCTCCGCAAGTTAACTGGCGAAATGTACAGTTAATTCTGCTTCATTGTTTTTGATTGAGACATGTTTCTACCATTCAAATGGTCATCATCAAGTTATACAATGCAAAAACTGATATTGTGAAGTAAAAAATCGAAAAACCAATTAAATGAAATTATTATGACTATGGTTAACTGTAAAATTGATTGATAATTCAATGATGAAAAATTATAATAGAATTGAAGAAACAAACATTTTTCAACTAATTATTCTTGAAAAACAAAATGTCGAACAAGTGTGATATAATAAAGAGGTTGTACTCACGTGGAAGTAGCTATAACATCATGAAGACGAAAAAATTGTATATTATTTCTTCTTTATATCTACTCTAAAACTATCAATTATGAAGCTACTCAATAATTACAAATTATTATCATTCATTCATTCAGATAAATATTGTCAATAGCATTCAAATTTTATTGTAGAAATTAATAGTAGTCACCACAGTCATACAACTAGACAAGCAGATCATTTTTCTGCAAGAAAATTAATTCAGATATTGGTAAAAAATCTATCCATCACAATGGAATGATTGTTTTCGGACATTTGTGATATGTATTATTGGAAACTTGGACCTGTTTCTATTTAAGGTAAAATCGTGAAACAAAAAAAAGAAGCATTTTTAAAGCATCGGTTACGAGTTTCGCTTCTTCCTGTTTATTAAATCGTGTTTTCCTTACCACGAAACGATTTGTAAGATCACATTATTAATAGGTACCGAATTTTGTGATCAATGATAACAAAGATAGTTAAATAAAACTGCTCATAGAAGCCTACCTTAAAAGGGATGTAGTGCCGTAGCATTTTCGGGCACAAATGTTGATAAAAACATTGTATCTTGGTTTTATCTGCAGGATTACCTCCTACCTCCCGGAGTATACGAACGTTATTATGGGACACCCAGTATATAAGTTTTGTTCTCACAGCAATGAGGCCACTTTCTGAAAAAAATCTGTTATCATTAAATAATTTCAACTACTGTATTTAGTTGTATCGCATATTACCAAATCCTAAAGATTTCAATGTATTGTTATTAAAAGTTTACGTCATTGTGAAATAAATATTGGGTTGATGTTTTTTTTCATTTAGTCCAATAAATGAAGGAGGAAAAAAAGGCAAAGTTAACGTTAATTACGCACTATTTTCATCTTCCGGTTGGAAGTAGCTTTTGGTACCTCATTAAACATGAGACAAAGTTTGACTAGAAAACGCGTGCGATGGCGGAGAAAATGGCCCCAAAAGACCAGGAAAATAGGTTTTCAGCCAATATCTCCTAAAATATGGCAGTTAGAGATTTTCGGTTCAGATAAAAATTGTAGTTCAGTTAATTTTCGACAAAAATGGTCCTTATCATTTTTCTCGAAAATTTGCCCGGTTTCGAGAAAAACGGCACGAAACGCACCTCGAATAATGAGCTTCTGTGTTGTATGCCGGAGAGCACAGTCCGTGTATTTACACATCGGCGGGGGGACAAATTATTCAATAACTTTGTTAAAAATGCATATTTTCTCATGATTCAAAGTTCATGTGGAAAAGGAATTCTGCTGCTATCATACCCTGCGTGGCCGCATGGTTTGTAGCAGACGACCCGAGCGCCACGTAGAGCACACACGCGGCGAACGACGGAGGAACGAAAGTAATAAATTATAGCGTGTACATTTAGATATACTGTTTTTTTCCCGGGATATCAAAGGTATGACTTATATACATCGATGGAAAGGTGGGAATTCCCCCGTTACACTAGTTAAGGTGTTAAAATGTTAGAAATAAAGAGCACGGAGAAAAAAACCACCGAAAAAAAAAGTGCGTTTTTTCCTTGACCCCGCTTTTTCTAATTTTATTGAAAAATGGACGACTTCGTCTAAAAAAATAATTGCACAATCGAAAAGTTAGCTTTCAAATGATGTATCATAGAAACCAATCGGATCATGTATAAAATTTAATTGATGGTTGTTCACAAAATTTCCCACGCTCCAAAAACAGAAAAAAATTGGGATTCAATAAACAAAGATTAAATGAAAATTAGAAAAAAATTAGGGTATACAAATTTCAGGGATGACAAAGGACCTTATGAGGACCTATAATCAAGAAAATTTTGAGTGAATTAGTGCAATACAAAAAAAATAGGAACACATTCCTGGCGAGGTCAAAATTGACCGGGAGCAGAAAGTTTGACCCATGTTCCGATATGGCCGAAAGAGTCAAGCGTGACTCAATTCACAGGTTATGATAGCAGCAGAATTCCTCTTTCACATGAACTTTGAATCATGAGAAAATATGCATTTTTAACAAAGTTATTGAATAATTTGTCCCCCCGCCGATGTGTAAATACACGGACTGTGCTCTCCGGCATACAACACAGAAGCTCATTATTCGAGGTGCGCTTCGTGCCGTTTTTCTCGAAACCGGGAAAATTTTCGAGAAAAATGATAGGGACCATTTTTGTAGAAAATTAACTGAACTTCAATTTTTATCTGAACCGAAAATCTCTAACTGTCATATTTTAGGAGATATTGGCTGAAAACCTATTTTTCTGGTATTTCGGGGCCATTTTCTCCGCCATCGCACACGTTTTCCAGTCAAACTTTGTCTCATGTTTAATGAGGTACCAAAAGCTACTTCCAACCGGAAGATGAAAATAGTGCGTAATTAATGTTAACTTTTTCCCTTTATTTATTGGACTAATTCTCAGTGTATTTTTGTTGATTCAATCCAATATTTCAGGTAGCCCATCAGACAGTAACAACAGTACAAACTCATCAAGCAGCGACTCCTTCACAAGCAAACCCAACTTGATCACAAACGATCTCTACAGCATAGCATCAATTGCGGTGCTCTTGAGCCCTAAAAAGGACAACACAGTATCCCCTTACAGACGCTACATCGAAAACGTCTTGAAAACGAGAACTCTAGACAAAAGCCTAAAATTCCTGAAGAACCTACACAAAAACGTCCTGAGGAAAACCAAACTAACGCTCGACCGTCCCAAAGATTCGACCATTTTCTCCACCACCAAAACACTCAATTCCGACGAGGAAGAACTGCTGCGGTATGGCTCTGGTTGGGACGACTGAAAGTTCCAAATGAAAATTTTAAAATCTAAATATTTCACTGAACCCTGAAAGTGAAACATTCGAAAATTTAGAACTGGAAACTTTCATTTGGAAATGTCGACATTATACATTTGAAACTTTAGAAGTTTTCGCGATTTCCTGAAGATCCTCCGTGAATTCTCTGTCGTAATTAGATGAAAGACCCACTTAACTTTTCAGTTTTTGAGGATATGCAAAAATGGATAAAGTAATTGAATTTTGATATCAAGATATTTTTTTGGTATACATGGGGTGTTATTTTTCAGAAATGAACATAAACTTTCATTTGTCAAATGGTATCCATAGACCAGTGCTGAAGCCTTTGAAAATGGTAAAAGTGGAAAAAAATATAGTAGGATGAAACACATTGGAAAAGAAAGAGAATATAATAAAAATTAATGGAAGATGATTTACGGGCTATCTGAGGTCGGGAAGTGGAAGGGGGTGGTAAAAAACAGATTGTTCCGATGCCCTATGGAAAGAAGTTAAATAGCAAAATTGTAGTTAATAAAACGATAAATTACTTTGGTCTCAACACTTTTTTCATACAACCTCGAAATGTTTGTGAAAAATTCAAATAACCAAGTTTTTTATTTTATTTTCATCACAAAAAATGATTTTTTTCACGAAATTTGGTAAAAACCCACGTTTTCATGTCTCAAATACACTGAAATTTTTTTGGTACGTAATATTAATTTTTTCTCCGATTGGCAGCAAATATTAATTTTGCTGACACATATCAATCAGCAAAGTATTACTTTTCCTGCCTAGGCAGCAAAGTGGTTATTTTGCTGATTGATATGTATCAGCAAAATTAATAATCCATAAATCGTTTATAATTTCCTTCATATTTCATCCGAGACTTCTCCGGCAACAAATTCAACTCTATATGTTTTGCCACCTCCCTTATTTCTGGATCTTTAATCACTTCCAGGTCGCTATCACTGTCCATTATATAATAATTTGAATATATCGATATTATTTCGCACAACTGTCAGAAATTTCATGAATTGTCAAACTATAATTATTATGGACATTTCCATAGCAACCAACCATTCCAACAACTGCGATTTCTATCAAATTTTATTTTAATTGAACACTACAGAAAAGATAAAGAGATATATTATATCATTATGAACAATCGGAGAAAAAATTATATGTTCAACTCGGCAGCAAAGTAGATTGACTGCCTTAGCTGGATTCCTAGCCTCGCTACGCTCGGCTATGAATTCAGCCTCGGCAGTCAATCTACTACTTTGCTGCCTAGTTAAACAAATAACTATTACAAAAAAAAAATATTTCAATACATTCGCTCTGAGCACCCGGTATTTCCATATATACCTTTCCGTACGTAATAAGATACGCCCTCTTCCAATTTCGACGAAATAAATAGGAGTATGTGAACATTATGAGATTACCGTAAGCCGCGAGGCATCAAACAATAATAATTTTATCGGAATTTTACAAAAATCAAAAAATACTCAAAAATGATTGAACACTTGAAGAAAAATAGATAGGAAGTGATTTGCGCACGTACAAAAAGAATATGGGGGTAAGTGTGTACTTGACCCCCAGTATTTTGAATATTTGACAGTTATTTTCTGTTTTGTTTTCCTCACACGATGTAACTCTTTGTGCTGAAGTAATGTACCAGTTTTGAGATTAATATCTTATTAATTACGCGAGTAATTAGAAAAAAACAGTTTTTAATTTCCAACTTTGACACCCTGTATATCGAATAAGAAGGGCTAAAATGAAAAATGGTATTTAGAAACTCATATTATTTTTGTTCAAGGAATATATGGTTAATGGATTGACCTCCTTTTAGCGGACACCCTGTGTATACAGGGTGTCCCACGAGTCGAGGATGAAAAGAAGTGGGGTGGTAGAGCGGGTCATTTCAAATCAAGTTAACCATATATGTGGTTATCCAATTGTTGATAGTTCAAAAGTTATTAATGTTTTTCATTTCTATAAAAATAATTAATTACAATAAAACTATGTCACATTTGTGATTTTTTCTTTTACAAATTTCCTCCACATGGATGCACCTTTCATCAGGAATAATTTTATGACTTGTATTACTTCTTATCAATTACCTGAGAAAAATGTTTTCTTTGAATTTTGTCATGGAATCAAATATTAAAGTCGATTTTCAAATGCCGCTGGCAGATTTAAAAACTACCCCAGGAAAATAACCAATCATATGAAAAAGTTGCCCATTTAATACAGATTCCGAAATGGTATAACATATGGGATTATTGAAAACAGCCTTTTTGTTATCAATACTTTTCGAATGGGTCGCATTTTTCAGAAAAATTGAATAACTTTTGAACCATTTAAAATTTAATAACAACATATACCGTTAATTTGATTACAAATGACCCCCCCCCCCCCCCCCCCGACCACCCCACTTCTTTTGATCCATTACTCATGGGACACCCTGTATATATCAACAAATATGTTTCTTGGGGTAATAAAGAACAACAACAACAACAACAATATTTAGATAGTGTAAGCTCGTCGTGACATACCTTGTACATCATGAAAATTTCAAGTGTCATGAGTCTAAAGGTGAAATGTTCCCGACCGCAGGTACGGCGCCTGGAGCCCCGAGGCCGCCAGCCTCGACCTGCCCTCCTACCGGTCGACGTTCCTCTTCCTGGCGATGGTGCCGCTGGAGGTGCTGCACGAGTACCTGCTGATGCGCCTGGAGCAGAAGCCGGAGAACCCGTCGCCTCTGAGCGTGCGCCAGCTGATGCGGGAGCTCAAGCAAGGGCTCATGGTGGCGATGGAGGAGCGTTGGCGCACTTACGGGTATGTAGAGCGTCGCTTCTTTTCGACTTTTTTTTCAAGCAAAGCTTTATTCAGAAAAGTTTTACATAATTGATTACAGTGTTTCCTAAATCTAATACATACAGAGGTGTGCACAAAAAACGGCTAGAGCTGTAACTTCTGAATCGATCGAGATCGAAATTTGAAATTTGGTGGGTAGCAACTACACCATATTGTTCATTTATTGTAAAAAAATATATCGAAGACTGGAACCTTTGGCACGATAATACACTACACTGTTTTACCACTAACCAAAACGATTTTTTAACAAACAGTTTTAATCTTCTCCTGAAGATGCTAACATAGTTAGCGAAACACGTGTCAAGGCGTTAAAAAATCGGTTTGGTTAGTGGTAAAACAGTGTAGTGTATTGTAAAAAAAAAATTATTCCATCACTTCCGGTCTAACCGAAAGTGACCCCAACTTTTAGTTTTCAAATGGAACCCCCTGTATATTTTTCCATTATTGGATTTAGAGTCACTGGATGGTATTAGTTTGATAAGAGTTCGGACACAGAAATGACAACTGTTAGGGTTTTTGAATGTTCAAATTCATTAAGTTACACACCTTGCATTGTGACAAGAGCGCCATAGTCGTCCCGCGCTTTATCATTCAAAATTGTTCGAATTTGACATGGACTTTGTAAACGTCAGAATTGAAATAAAATTTCATAATTATACTTTCGAGGAAAAAGCAGCTATGGAGATCACTTGATGTGTACAGAATTGTGCCAATTCGGAAAAAAATGTATATCTTTTATTCAATTTTCTAAAACGAATATCAACCATTCGCTTATGGAAGGAAGATATGAAACGGCGCTTGGGTGGAAAATCAATTTGAAGACGAGCAAAATTTGTGAGGTACTCATTAAAATCATCACTTTCCATAACAGCATCCATCAATTTACAAAGCAGACGATTTCAAAATTCCATTATTATCATCACACAAAATACAGAACAAAATAATCATGGAAAGAGGAAATGACCGTAAAATTACATAATGATATTGGAAATTTGAAAACAAAACTAAGAAAAGCAAGGAAACTACAACGTGATATATTATTCCAACAGTGAAAAGTGAATAATTATTTATGTGTCAAGGGAACGCTGGAGGTTATCGTTTTGGAGATATTTTCTGTATCGATCCATGTTACTTAGATGCTTAAGTCCTAGGGCGCTAAGTGAAGTTGCTGAGAACTTTTCAGAAAAATGTATTTGGTATATCGATCCATGTTACTTAGATGCTTATAGCTTCTAAGGCGCTAAGTGAAGTTGATGAGAACTTTACAGAAAAATGTATTTGGTAGGTCTCGTCAAAATAAACTACATTTTTACAAGGAAATGTTAATCGAAGAATGATTTGTTCTCTGTGTTTCAACACCCTGTATCTCCGAAATGAAACATTTCCGGACACAATTGTGAGCTTAAGCTCATATAGACTTTATTTCTTAAAATTGTCTCACAGGAATACTTCACTTGAACGTATTTATGTTACTTCCTGTATATTGAGAATACCTACCTTTAATTACATATCAATAACTTCATGTTTAATACTTATCACTGGAGTACAGTTTGGCATACAATGAGGATTTATAGCTATAAGTTTATCCATATGTGTATATTTTCTAATATTAAAACGTTGGTACATGCATTCTTCTCATTTATATAACAGTTGTTCTGCTAGAAGTTTATCACTATAAATTGAAGTGGGTGTTTGTACCCTATATCCATTGTCCATCTACGGCTATGATTGATTTGACAGAAAATATAACCTCTAAAATCGTATTTGACAATCAGGCGCTTCTAGGGAAATTGAAAAGACAAAGAGCAGAATATATGTCTTATTCTTTTATTCACTTAAACCATTGTATTATAGAAAATAGAAAAGGACAAAAGTTCAGCTGTGTCCGAACTCTCATCAAACTAATACCATCCAGTGACTCTAATTGGATTCAGGGTATCATTTCACATACACCAGTAGTTTTTCCGGATCAAAATGACAAGAGGATTTTTTTTATTAAACATTGCCCATTAATTGGTAATAGTAATCAAGAACTAGGTAGCCTTGTAAGTCAATTTCAATGTGACAGTAACATCCAATAATAAGTTTCAATACGGGTGATGATATTTTCTTTTTTATAAACATGAATAATAATGAGTTAACCGATATGTTACAAGTTTATTTTGAATGTTTGAAAAATTCGTACGATGCTGCTCGTGTTTATAGAAACAGATATCCGAATAGAATTCATCCTAGCCATCAGAAATTTGGCAGATTGGAAGCTAATCTACGTCAATTTGGTAGTTTCAAAAAACCAAATAAACAACAGCGAGAGTTTGATGCAGATAACGAAGAACAGTTCTTTCTATTTTGAAAAAACATAAGTACACGCCATAAGTTCCCCGCAAAATTCACGCCTTGGAGCACGATAATGACAAAGAACAATATTTTTTTGAATAGGTTTAATCAAGATCCTGCATTTTATAGAAAAATAATGTGGTCAGATGAATGCACATCTGGGCGAAATGGTATCTTCAATAGACGAAATCACAGATGTTGGTCACAAGAAAATCCCCATTGTAATGTAGAAACCAACTTCCAAACAAGATTTAGCTTGAATGTATGGTGCGGAATTCTTGATGATATGTTGGTAGGCCCGTTTTTCATCGACGGTTCTTTAGACCAGTATAAGTATTTTGAGTTGCTTACTGGTTATATTGAAAATTTTCTGAACCAACTTCCCCTCTCGTTATGAAGTCATTTTCCAACAAGATGGAGCACCGCCACACAATATGCGTTTGAATGTGACTTATTTGAATACACACTTTGGAGAAAGGTGGATAGGAACAAATGGACCGATACGGTTGCCAGCTCGCAGTCCAGATTTGACAGTCATGGATATCTTCCTTTGGGGTTACTTGAAGGATCAAGTTTATCTATTTCAGCCAGAGAATATAGAAATCCTTAGACATCGAATATTAGAGGCTTGCCACAATATACCCCAAGCAATTTTACACAACGCAACTTTTAGTGTAGCTAGAAGGTGTCAGCAATGCACTGCACAAAATGAGGGTCAATTTGAGCATTTGTTGTAATTAATTTTTTATCGCCCCTCTTTCTATGCAACTGAAAATAATAAAGATTGATGTGGAGTTCATTTTGTTGTTCTTTCTGTTTCATACAAAATGATCCGGAAAAACTACTGGTGTATGTAAAATGATACCCTGAATCTAAAAGTGGAAAAATATACAGGGGGTTCCATTTGGAAATCAAAAGTTGGGGTCACTTCCGGTTGGACCGGAAGTGATGATATGATTTTTTTCGTCAATAAATGAACAATATGATATAGTTGCTACCCACCAAATTTCAAATTTCGATATCGAATGATTCAGAAGTTACAGCTCTAGCCGTTTTTGTGCACACCTCTGTATACTATTCACAGTTCAGAACAAAAGTAACTCCTAAGCAACATAATTATATGATGTTGGTATCGGAGTTCCGATTGTGTCCAATTTTTTTATTTATTGCTTTTTTGTAATTTGTCAATTTGTAAATAAGAGCTCTTTCAGGTTTACAGTGAACATAGCAGTGAATTTCTTCTCATTGCTTATACTTTTAATTGAATTTGGAAGATAATTATATCTTTGCATTTCTTTGTTCACAGGGTTTCTTTAAGCTATATTTGTTCGTACATTTTGAAGGTGTAGATTATTTCTGTTCCTAATACTGTATTCATGAATGTCATTATTATACGTAATTGTAATGTTTGTTTTTATATTGTGGTGAAGAATTCTATGTACAAATTTACACTGTTCTAATTTGAATACAACATCAAGTTTTTGTATTTGTGTTATTTGATATACCAAATTTGTATTTGTCCGATTCTGTAAGGATAATAAGTTCTTAACCACTTTATTTTGGAGTATTTGGCACCTATTTAATTGAGTTAGATTGATTGTGCCCCAAATTACTATTAAGTATCTAAAAATTGAGAGAAAATAAGAATTATAGATCATCCTCTTGACATGATCAATCAGAAAGTCTCCTCTCCAACTGCATGTCCACCAATTTCTAATCTGAGTTCTTCAATTTTGGATTTTTTTCTGCCTAAAGATCATGTAGTTTGTTTTTTGGTTATTCAGTTTGAGCTAAGCTAAGAGCCATTTATAATATGTGAACAAGTCTCTATTGATGTGATCTACTAGTCCTTTAGTATATGTGCCACTATAGACTAGGACAGTATCGTCTTCGAATGTGAAGTATCTTGCCTCCAGCCCAGCCGTTTTTAGATTAAGTACAAATAATGAGTATAGTAAAGGTCCTAGGACAGATCCTTGTGGAACTCCGCACCCAGGGCTTTTAGTATCACTGCAGTATTTATCTATAACAACATATTGCTTCCTGTTCTTTAGATATGATTTTAGTAACTTAGATATTATATTTTTTAAACCCATCTGATTTAATTTGTCTAATAGGATTGTATGATCCACGACATCAAAGGCCTTTCGGAGATCAATGAATAACGCTATTACTATATGACCTTTGTCTAAATTTGTGGAGATGTAGTCAGTTAGGTCAGCCGTTGCACTTGATGTACTGCTTTTCATGAGGTAGAAATTAGACTTGGAGCGTCTACTGAAGATTTATCACGACTTTGAGCACATAATTCAAATCGATGCAGAATATTATAAACAGCTAAAATCAAATGATTGACACCCTGTAACTCGAAAACTGGCCATAGGATCGATCTGTAAATTGGACGGTGTAATAAGGACGCTAATATCTGAAACAGTTTCAGTTTTTCAGTTTATTCAGCAGTAGATTAGTATACATGTGTAACATTTTGTAATTCTATTTGTATATATATATAGGTTAGTTGCCACTCTGAAAGGAGAGAGAGATAAACACTCTAAGCATCGTGAGATGCTTGTGCTGTGTAATATCTCTTTCCTAAACAGGGGCTTAAATTCACAAAGTATACCTGTCAGTCAATCAGTGAGCAGCTATATAAAAATAGAAGTAGCTCAATTTAGCACCTACACGGAGAAAAATTAACAAAAGGAGACATGACGAAGATGGAAGTTTGAATTATTATACTGTTCATTGCATATAACATATAAAATTTTCAAAAGAATTAGCCGAAAGCCATTTTCCGTACTGAATGTGCGGGGTCCTTTATATCGAACATATAACTACTATTTATGTAAAACGATTTATATCACTCTCTGACACCCACTGCTTGACTGACTCACTGCAGTTGTTTGGACGTCCTTATATATGATCCCTTGGTAGGCTTTGCTTCTCTAACGTTCTCGAATGATTTTCCGTACCCTTCTTTTTGTTCTAGGAGCTTCTTAGAACAATACCTCTCTCTCTCTTTCATCGTTCCATCGATTGTTTCCAGAACATTCCAGAATCTTTTGTCAGGTTATTTGTCACCGCGGCATAGATTGAGTGTTCGGAAATATGTTGGTGCATGTTGAAATCATTGGGATGTTGGAGAACAATCTGGATCGCGTATACAGGATGATCGTTGTACTCCTGTCTTCCTGATGATGTTTCTAGAGCCCCTCGAAGGGAAATATTACAATACATCCAAAAATTCGTAAATTTTATTTAAAGACTTTCAAAGAAGGATCTTTGAGATACCCCTGTGGTTAGAGTGTCCGTGCAGCGGCTCACGTAATAATTTTGCCCCTTCCAGGTACGTGGCGGCGGCCACCTCGGGCTGCGACCACCCCATCGAGCACGTCCGCGAGCGACTCGAGGACTTCGACGGCTGTCTGAGACGAGTGTTCGCCGACTACCTGGAGTACCTGGAGAGGTGGGTGTTCCTGCACAAGAACACCTTCCCGAAGAACCTGCTGGACGAGGAGTTCGGGTTCTCGATGCAGGTGACCCAGCACGTGCCCGACGTCAAGGACATGATCGGCAGGCGGTTCGCCTTCATTTGCGGCACCATCCTGAAGCGGATAGGGGAGAAGTTGATAAGCAGGATCGAGGATGTGCTCGAGGTTATTTCGAAATGTGACGACGTGATGTTGAAGTGAGTATACCAAATTAGAGCGGAGGCTGGTGTGTACCACCCCTACCCCCTGTCGGAATTTCGGACACATAGATTTTTTTGTTTGTATTGGCAAGTACTTTGAGGTTTTATGTGTTGGCCACTTGTGAATTACAGCATATCCTGGAAAAACACGAAAACACTGCGTCATTGGTGATTGCCATGTCCACAGTTCCACATAGAGCGAAATCACTATTTTGCAAGCGCATTCATATATTTGGGTATTCAGCAATTTTGTATCCATTACAATGAGACTTCATCTTTGTGAATACTCATGAATATAGGTAAATAGTTATTTGTACACCAAAGAAGTAAAGAATATCAGTATTACCCAGGGACCAAGATTATATCCTGAGGCTTCAGCTTCCAAGGTGTATATTAAATAATATCCTTATTTAATCGTAAAATGTTTGTATTTTCTTGAATTTTATAATCATTAACATTCAGAAATCATTTGACACTGTCAATATTTTCTTTTTTCAACAATATACAAAGAGTATTGGGAACGAATAATAAATATTCTGACAGTTATGAGTTATTCGTTCAGTTTGAAGATCATGTCGAGCCAGTGTACAGAGGCAAACTTGCTTGATTATCAATTTTGAGAGTTTATACCAATCCATTTGTCTGACCAATATTCCCAATGGTTTACTTTCGTGTACCTACCACAAACATTGGTGGAAGGGAAGTTTTCAGAGCCCGTTTTTAAAAATAATAGAATTTTTTATTTTATTTCAGACAGAATTTATTCTCAGTGTGTCGAGAATTGCAGTCCCTTTTCAATGAAGAACGTGAGATGACTCTCAAGACGATGTGTTTCATTAAAGCAAACATTAAGAAGGACAATGTACCTTACGATTCTTTGAAATTTTTGGGGGTGAGGTGGATGAGTTTTCCATTTTATCTGATCTTCATCTAACTACTCCATTGATTTTTAGGAATCTGTGTTTGCCTATAAATGTATCATACCAGATGCTATTGGAAAAATACAAACATTGTTTGACCATATAAGCTTTGTCAGCTTGGACGAAATCGATAAAAATGCCCTGAATTCGAGGATAAGAGAAATCCTTATGCAAGTTTACCGCTTTGGATTCGAGGTAAGTCACCTTCAAAGCACCTTCCATTAAAAATAAAATGACTATACATTTTCTTGAACCGGAATGATTATGAAGTTGGGTTAAAATAGAAATATTCTGTTTTATGTTAGAGTAGAAGACATTTTACGTTCTAACACATCCGACCACCATCAAGCCAGGAAGTAAAAAGACAACATTGCAGTTTCGTTCTGAATGAAAACCTATTTAGTAGGTGAGAGGTTTAATATTGTCAGTTCATTGACCCAAAATTTGACTGTTTGTCAAGTGGCGCTAGTTTACTGAAAATATTTGTTCTAAATAGAATATTTGCCAAAATTAACAATTTTCGGTTGGGGTTTTCACCTCAGACAAATTACGATTATCTACTTTCAAGTTAGTTGCTGGTTTTTTGTTTGGTTGGTTTTTGTATTCCATTTTGCACTTCTGCAAGAGTTGGTTTATACATTCTTTAACAATCCTTTCTCAACGATTTCGTGAATTTGATGCAACATGTAAGTGCTTCCAACAACATCAGTAGGGCTACAGTAATGTTTAATCAGAGCACCGATGAGTTTCCAGTCCCTACTCAAATTGAAATAGCATCAATGACTCGACAATGGGGCTATACACACTAGTCGAATTTTCGCCACATAGGTACCTATTATGTAGAATAGAATAGATAACCTATATTTATCCATTAAGATCATAAAGCTATGATATAGGACAAGTCATAAAAGTTTTTAACAATTTTTATTATCCCATTGAACTATTGACCAATCATCCATCCTCATAATATGTTCATACTTACATGCACTCATCACCATTTACACAAATCATTTAGCGATTCCAAAAAGAGTACTGATTTTCTAACAGTATCGATCTGATAGCTGACTGTTTTTTATTTCATTGTTCAGTTTGTTATTGAAGACTGAGCCCATATAATAAGGATTTGACTTGTACAACTCTAATCTATGGATATATGTATTGATCATTCCGTGTACAAATAGTATTTGATGCAATCATTCATAATTTAAAATCGTCGCAAATATTTTTTTCAATAATTCGATGACGTCATGAACCGAATTCTGGCTCGCATAAAAAGTTGGATCACATATTTCGACGCTGCCAGCTGTAACTAGTAATTACCTTATGAGATTCAATATGACCAATGACAATAGTATTTACATTCACGGAAGACAATAGTTCAACCTGGTCCCTAATAATCACTTATTGAATTCTTATATACTTGCAAGATGCTTCAGTACCATTAAAAATATCCTAGTATTCTTAATAATGATCGAGATTCTATTTAATCCCAAATTATTTCGTGGCTCGGGCAACAGTGTAATGCCTAAGTTCCCAGGAATATAAAAAAAGAAGAAGACAATCTACATTGTCAACCTAACTTCCTGACGTTTGAATATCGGCTGTCATTTTCATCGTCGAATCCCTGTTTCATTTGGTCAAGATGCGGATATTCTAAGATAATCCTCATATTATCTGATTATTGAGTTGTGTGTTATGTTCTCTGTTATCAGCAGTAAGTATTCAATCCAGTAAATTCATTCCACATTCTGATTGAAATAAAAATCAGAAATAGTCTTGCACTTCTCTATCAGAAATAGAGAATTGATAGGTAAATCAAATCTTATATGGTGTTCTCGGATGATAACTTCACGCGTTTTCCCGCGTTTTTCATGTTATGAAATATCGTTAATTTCAATAACTATTCAAAAAAGTTCAGAGAACTTGTTAGGGTTAGTACTTTGAAATAATGAAATACGATACCTACTTCACTGAAACATCATCATTTGATAAACAACAGGCTAGGCTCTGGAATTCATTGCCTGAGGAAGTATTCCCAACAACATTTTGAAATTCGCGTTTTTTAAAAAACATGGAACATATCCTGTGAGACATCATAGCTATGACTCATTACTGAACGAATTCAATTTAATTTCTCTAAGGAAACATCGTGAGATTGTTGATTTAACTTTTATATACAATATTATTCATAACCATATTGATTCATCCTCTTTGCTTTCAATGATTGATTTTAATGTACCTCGTTCGGTGTCGAGATCTAATATAACATTTCGCATAGTTGTACCTAACTCTCAACATCATTTTCATTGTCCTCTTACAACAATGTGTCGAAGTTACAATAACTTGCAATGTATTGACATATTTTTTCTCTCATCTCAATTCAAGCGCCAACTATTCAGTGTTTTAGCAAATTAATCATGTTTCTTTTATAATCGATGTTAGTATTACCAATTCTTGTTTGATAGTAGCGATTCCTAATTTATCAACAATTTATATTATACGTACACCTGTAAATGGGCGTAAGCCTGCTGGATGTATTATTGAATAAATAAATAAATAAATAAATAAATAAACATATAATCTCCAGAAGTTAAAAAAAATTCCAATACCTACCTCCTATCCCTATCCTCCCTAGGAACGCACGATGTTCTTTGAACATTATAGGGATTCCCTTTCGCGCGCTCGAAGCGATAAAAAAAAAGTTTCTTCCTTATGCATCCTTTATGCATCCTGCTTTCCTTATTTTTGTGAGTACTTCAAATTATTAAGCGTGACAAATCTTTTATTTTGACAGAAAGTGGATCTTGTCAGGAATTTGCAAATTTTCTAGGGTTAGCATAACCAATGACTTGACTCAGTTCGGAATAGAGGACACTAGCTTACTGAAAATGTGGTCAATGAGAGTGGTTTTCGCTTTTTTCTTGAATGAACGTACAATATACCTCCCCTCCCGCCTACTAACTTAGTTATCATTTAGCATGACAATGTGGCAGAATGTGAGATTGATAGTCACTTGAACCGTGTTCCAGAAAACTATGAAATGATATAATCATCTTCAAGTCTATGGTTGTGAAACTCAAACAGTATTGCCAAGTCATCACCTGGCTTGAAAGTGAAGTCGCCTGTGGTTCTATTTCAATCAATGTTATTTTATCATTTTTATTTCATCTATAGTTTTACAGAGAAGTGGCAGACACCTCGCCGAGTGAACTGAGACCTCGACTTGTTCATTGTATGGTCGATTTTGCCAATTTGTGGATGAAATTCGTGACTGAACGGTGCGAACGCGGCAGAGGCATGCGACCGAGATGGGCCTTCCAGGGCTTGGAATTCCTCCTCACAGTCTGCGAACCCGTCCACACCCATCATGTCAGCGAAGAGAAGTTCGACAAGCTGAAAAGGGACATGGATATCTGCATTTCACATGTTATAGGTGAGGAATTAAATCGTAATGATACCGTAACCAAGCCACCGGGTTTTGGTATGGCAGAAAACCGACACAAAAGTCGTCCATTTTAATACCAAAATTAGCTCTTGAATTAACGTTTCTATTACTGACACAAAAATTGGTATGTTGCTAGGCAACATATTTAGTTCCTAGGAAACTAAAAAGGATGTACTAGACGTCAAGAATAAACAACATTGTTACGGTTGGTTATTTGGGTTGGGAGTGTTGGAACGCATACCTCATTTGTTTCCGATTTTGACAGATTTGGCATTTCATACCAATGCTGGAGATATAAATACACCTTATTATGGTTAAGTGTGGGAATTATAAACATCTATTCTACGGTTGCAGAAAAAAATAGCATGTTTCATTCGGAACAAAAGTGACTTTGTTAGACTCGTAAATTTTGCTTCCGCTTGGCTTTGCTGAACGCTCCGCCTCGCAAATGCAAAATTCGCTTGTCAAACAAAGTGTCACTTTTGATCCAAATAAAACAATCTACTATTCCTGTGTACGTCTAGTATTTATCGTATTTGAAAAGTATCAAAAATCGAGTCGATACTTTCACGTTGTGAATTTTTTCAGAAGTTAAGGTAGAAGAAAAATAAGAATTGAGTGGATTTTATTGCCCACAATTCTTTTAACAATGCAAGGTATAGCTGATATCACTGATACCACCAAGACTTAGTATTATAAAATGTTGAGGATCATATTATTTGATAAATTACTGAGATGGCCTATGTTCGCATTTTTTGCAACTTTGCTCTGAGCTTGGCCTCTTTCTGAATAAATACTGTAATAACGCCAGTATTATGATTCCCTGTAGAAAGTAAATAACTGGCTCAAGAAGAAACTCTTACCTGATGCTGTTGGCAGTCATTGCTAGTTGACTCAAATTGCAATCGTTGAAGAAGGAGTGTTAAAGAATTCACATACCCCCACTTCTTGAAAAGTGCAAAAACAACACATGAACAAACCAAAAACTAACTTGAATAATTTGTGTGAGGTGACGTTTTGATAACCTCAACCTAAAATTGAATAATATTGAAACAAATGAGCTCTCGATGTTTTCAATAAACTAGCGGCATTGACAGACAACCAAATTTTGGTCAATGAACATACAACATTATACCTCTGCCTACTAACTAGGTTATCGTTTAGTATGACAATGACTAAATTAACGTTAAACATATCACAATCTACTGAATTCACTAGTTCAATACATTTTTGGCTAACTTTTTTTTTATATAAGAAATGCTAATACTTAGGTACAGCTGAAATCTACTGAATCGAAAATACGGGAGTAAAATCAAGAGTCATCATCAACTGTCATAATTGTAGTATACTTTATTTTCCTGATTTTCTTGGAAAGTTTGGTATGCCTTTTTTGCTTTACAGAGAGTCCCTTATTCAAAGAATGTGATGTGATGATGTGTTGCGTTCTGGAATACTTATATTAGGACATTTCTATTTTTTACATTCATTTTCTCTCAATTTGATTGAAGATCGCGGTTCCTTGTGAGAATATGGTAGTGTTGTTTTTTCAAGAGTTGCTAATTCAATATTTTTCGACGAGTTGAACGTTGCCTTCTGTTCTGTTGAGACTGTAAGAGCATATTTATTATTATTGATATCATTATCTATCTATTATCCCTTCAAAAAACAATTAATTTGTCACATCTGCAGATTTAAAGATGAAATTCAAAGTTTACTTACTAACCCTATATTTTTCTTGTATTTACACTATCTTTATATCGAGAATCAGTCGAGAGAAATCCATGAAAATGTGCATGCTTATATTTTAGAATATGCTCTCTTCATTCAAAATATTTTCGACAATTCAGTGTTGCCGCTTTTACTAGAAAGTAGTATCAACATCGATATTTCAAATGAAACACCCTGTATTTTATCGCATTTTTAGATTCTCCCCGAAGAGCTGATTTTATAGATGTAGATCACTTTCGGGGTCTATTGAAATAGATTACAGAGATATAGGGTGTTCAAAATCGAGATTATTCAACTTTGGGATTTTTTGTGTCGAAACTATTCATTTTCGGTCAAAACGGCTCACGTCCCAATCTCAATTTTGAATAACTATTTACTGATATTTAACCGGAACAGATACAGGGTGGTTCAAGATTCAGAATTCTGATCACCTTGTATCTGTTCTGTTATCTGTTAAATATCAGTAAATAGTAAATCATAAGTTGAGATAGGGACATGTGAGCCGTTTTGGAAGATAATATATAGTTTCGACACAAACAAATTCTATAGTTGAAAGCCCTTTGTCTCAGTAATCATTTCTGATAGACCCCAAGTGTGATGTATCGATGAAATCAGTCCTTCAGGAGAATCTAAAAATGCAATAAAATACAGGGTATTCTATTTGAAATAACAAAGTTGTTGCCACTTTTTGATAGAAGCGGTAACACTGCATTGCTGAAAATATTTTAAATGAAGAGAGCCTATTTTAAAATATAACATTGCATATTTTCATGGATTTCTCGCAACTGATTCTCGATATAGAGATGTGTATGCTCGTCGTTTCTTAACACTAAGATGAAATTTAAAGTTTACCTACTAACCCTATATTTTTCTTGCATTTCTCAACGCCATAGACATATTGTATATAGGTCGCGTGCAAGAACTGTCAGATGACCGACCCTGGAGGCAAAACATTGAAACACAACGTCACTTTTCTTATTTGTTTACAAGTGATCGAAATAGTTTTTCACAATTATTTTGGCATAGGAATCGTATTTTTCCGCTATTCATCAATTCGCTCATGCCATCACATTGTGCTGTTGTAAAATGCACAAAAACTGCAGCGGAAGATTAAAGAATCCGGATGGTACATTATGATTCAAAAGTAAGTACCTACTATAGTCACTCACATATAGTTTTCATTTTTGAAATTTGGTTATTTCTCTGATTTCTCATCGGAATTCCTTCTGCAATAAGAGCTAATAGAAATATACCTGAAATTTCTAGAATAATGCAAGAAGATTGGATTCATGCAATCAATCGGGAGGACTGGTCTGACATGCTGACGATCGTGTGTGTTGTAGACATTTTCAATCTATTAGCAGTATTATCTTGTATTGCAGAAGTGGTAGAAGGCAGAAGGAATTTTAATAAGGAATGACAACATTTCATAATGATAACTATGTGAGATTACTATTTACCTGAAAAATCATATTCTTTAGTCTCCTTCTGCATTTTTGTGCATTGTACAACAGCACAATGCAAAGGCTTGCTTGAATTAATGAATAACTCAAGAAACACGATTCGTATGCCAAAATATTGTGAAAAACTATTTCAATCCTTTGATTCCACTGTAACCAAATGAAAAAGTGAGGTTGTGTTTCAATAATTCACAGAAGAATGAGGTTGTGTTTCAATATTTTGCCTCCAGGGTCGGTCATCCGACAGTTCTTGCACGCGACCTATTGAACTAGTGGACACTATCTCAATTATGTAGGTACTACTGCACCATCTACACCTGACAGCGGATTCCACTCCGCATCTTCTAGATCGAGTCTGGATCAAATCAGGGCTAGGTCACGGGGGTCTTCGCCTAGTCCTAGGCCTTATTACAAGAGCCAGAGGTCCAAAGGAAGGAAGACGAGTGCGGAACAACAGTCGCCTAGCACCGAATTTTTCGATGCAGTTACTCTGGATACAAGGTAAGTTATGAAAATATGAAACATATTGTACTTACTTCAATAATGGTGATGTTAGATGCAGTGACGGCTCGTGCCCTCAGAACCTGGGTCGGCCAGGGTATAGATATTGCTCTAAAATGCGAACGTAAGTGGGTCAGCGGCTTGAGTGAAGTTCGATGGCAAATAAGCATGTACAGGGTGATTCACCATAATTGTCCTTTCTCCCTCTAGCTCACTTATTTTTGACCCGATTTAAAAATTTGAAGGATGATCTAAAATGATTTCTCAGAATTTTTTTTCCCGTTGCATCAGGAACAAATAATGATCTACAGGGTACTACTCGATTTTTCCAAATCGAACACCCTGTATTTCATTGTATTTTTAGATTCTTCCTGAAGAGCTGATTTCATCAATGCATCACACTTGGGGTCTAGCGGGAATGATAACAGAGATATAGGGTGTTCAAAATCGAGATTTTTCAAGTTTAGGATTTTTTTGTCTCGAAACTATTCATTATTGGTCGAAACGGCTCCTATGTTTCCATCTTAATTTTTGATTAACTGTCTATTGAGATTTGATTGGAACATTTACAGGGTGGTTCAAGATTCAGAATTCTGATCACCCTGTATCTGTTCCAATTATTAAATGTCAGTAGATAGTAAATCAAAAGTTGAGACATGGACATGAAAGCCGTTTTGACCGATGATGAATAGTTTCGTCTCAAAAAAATCCTAAAGTTGAAAAATCTCGATTTTGAACACCCTATATCTCTGTAATCATTCCCGATAGACCCCAAGTGTGATGCATTGAGCAAATCAGCTTTTCAGGGAGAATCTAAAAATACAATGAAAAATAGGGTGTTCCATATAAAAAAATCAAATGGTACCCTGTAGATCGTTTGTTCTGAGCACCCTGTATTTTCTGATGTAGCGGAAAAAAACTCAATCAAAAATCATTCAAGATGATTTCTCAAATTTTGAAATCGGTTTAAAAATAATTGAGCTAGAGGGGGGGACATTTATGGTGAATCACCCTGTACCTACACATAACCAGAAAATTAAATTGTCCAGCAAGAACCACGAGGTTAGAGCATTCTCGCCAGGGGAAATGGGGAAAGAAAAAGGAGGTGGATAAGGGTTAGTTGGTATGTAAAAATAATAACAAGAAAGTCGAAAAAATAAAATGAAAGAAAATAAAAATAAAATAACTCGTGAACAAAAAATATTTATATTCTGTTGAAAACGTAATGTAAACTAAAAAAAATCAACATAACCGACAACCACTCACCTAACGCGAGAAGCACAACAATGACTAATCGCATAATCGGTCTACGCCGTTCCTGTAACAAGCCACCCCACTGACCCCACTCCTTCGTAGTCGGCTGGCCGAGCCCGCGTGCAGGGTGCAGCCGTAGGTATAATGACTATAATGTTTCCCGCGATGCGATGGATGCATAAATATTATTTAGGTACCTAGTTTATAACCGCTACATGCGTCTTTGAAAATAAATGATATTCTGGAAGTTATACATTTACCTATTACATTTTCGTCACCAGAGCTTTTTTACGATGTTTCAATGCCTACTCAGCTCTTGGACTGCTGACATTTTTCTTGCCATATTACCTACATAGGCAGAGGCACAGTAGGTTACATTACAGCAATATTCAAATTGAATTATAACTTATTGACGCTCAGAAGCACTGAAGGAAAATTCTGATACCAATATTACATGGATATGTTGAATTATGAATTACTGAAAAATTGCGAATTCAAAAATCACCAGTCATTTTTACTGCAACTACTGCAAGCGTAAACAAAAACATGGAAATTATTTTTCTTTTCAGTTTGTACATTTCAAATTCCAACATCAACTTACAAATAAGTATAGGAATTAAAATTATAAATACCTACAATGTAAAATGAAAATAGAATGTCAATCATGCCAATCCGTATATTAAAAATTAGGTCGGAATGGTTCGATACGGTGCACAGCGAGCGCACTGCAAACAACTGATACTGATAAGTACGATCGATACGTTGGACGGCCAGCGGAGCTTGGCCGCACCCAAGGTATGACGCGTATAAGCGAAAATTTAAACTTGAAGCGGGGAATCTGTAGGCGATGCCTGTGGCGATGCGTCGAGACATGAAATCACCGATCGGCCGGCCGTCTGCATCAGTGTAATGAGCTACGCGAGCGTTTCGACTGAAAGCGGCGTTTTGACGATGGGATTACCAGATGTCGTAGGTCCTGAATTAGTTCGTGATTTTCGGTGTATATGCGGATGGCATACTCAAAGGTTCCATGAATGAAATTCAAATAATAGTGGCATAACAGTAGGATAATGAGCGATGAATTATGAAAACAGTTTCGGAAAATAATTTTATTCATCAAATAGTTCAGTAATTTTCCCCAAATTATTTGGTACGGCCCGGCCGACCCTGCCGTCCCTGACGAGCCGTCACTGGTTAGATGGTTGAATCACAAATGAGTCATTGCCTAAACGTGTGTAGAAGGCCATAGTGCCCAAAGTGAAGTGGTGGTAATTGAAGGAAGGAAAATCTCCAAGTTGTAATATTCTTGATTGTGGTATAACTGATAATGATTGATAAATGAGGCGAAACATTACACTAGAGGGTATTTATTTAACGTCATATGAATCATTGGTACATTCTATACGACATCTCAGAAGCTACTGACGAATCGCATCTGCGACGTTGCCAAGTATATCACTGCTAATTTATAACACAAGTAATCTCCACGATTTTTAAAGACAAAATGTTACAATGGAGGGTGGGACAATTAAAAAAAATCTTTATCAAGCAATGTAACTTTTTCTATCCATGCTCAAAGAAAAAATTTCCCCCATAGTTGGTGCCTTAAGAAGATGTCCAAAACTTCTCCCAAATATAGCAAATACCGTTCTATACTGTCACATCCTTAGTAAAATGAACTATCTCATAAATATTTGGGGTTCATGTTCCATGAATAATTTCAACAAAATATCTGTACTATATAAAAAAGCATTAAAAGTACTGTATCGTCTTCCATATTATGATACCCCATCAAATCAACTTTATGAAGAAACAAATACATTTTCTTTGGAAGAGCACTATCTGATAAATACGCTCAAAATTTCTTTTGATGTTATCAACAAACACCTCAAATCTAACTTCATATTGGTAAGGAATTCTCAAATCCATGAACATCATACTAGACAATATGACTTGTTTCATCTTGATGCTGCTCATTCTACACTTGGTCAAAAAAAGTTCACTCACGGAGCTATCTCAAAATTCAATAAATTACCTGATGATATCAAAAGTTGCACAAATATCACCCAATTCAAAATCAAAGTCAAGAAACATATCCTCTTGCAAAGAGAAAATCAAACCTGAGTGAATGATTTCTCATTGACTAATTTATTTCATCATGTCATAATGTACTTTCCATGAGCTTTTTGTTTTATTATTATTATTTTTTTCATTCTGTTGTTCATTTCAAAAACTATAATTTAATTTGATAACGCATGAATAATCTCATACCAGATATGAATCTGTCTGATTATTCATGTTATTCCATTGTAAATGTTAATGATTATATTTATATTTATATCTGATGCAATGTAATGTTTATTGCAAGGAATGAAATAAATAAATGAATAAATAAAATAAACATATTTGGCTGTCCCACCCCCCCAAACCAAATCATTTTGTCATTAACTACTATTGTCGCACATTTATTTATCATCAAACCGAATCCCAAGATACTCCTTTTCCTACTTTCTCATTAGTTTGTTTCAAAGATTCATTTTTATATTACCTTTAAAAAAGCTACAAGAAAGAAGAGGCCGACAGCGCCCCGATCGAGATCCGCTTCCCGCCGAAACCGCACGCGGACCGCCTGCGAGAGGCGGTCGAAGCCCTCGAAGCGGAACTGGACAACGATCTGATCAAGCAGAACTTGATAGGGAAAGTGGTGCACAGGAAGGCGACTGGCAAGAACATCCCGAGGAAGAACGTGACGTTCTCGTGGCAGCGCGGCATCAAGATCGGCCAGGGCCGGTTCGGGAAGGTGAATAACCAACTAGCATTTCAAGTCACAGCTAGAGTTCCTAAATGTACTTGTATATTATGATACAAAAAACGTCAAAACAGCAGTGTCAAGTACATTTAGGAACTCTAGTCAAAGCCACTCATTTGAAAACAATGTAAACAACTGGAAGGGAGACTGCCGTCCTCTCTAATAGCACAGATTCTCGAATAGCACAGAGTGTGTCAGGGGCAGCTGCAACAAAGTTAGCTTGTGTTACGGTAACCTGTCTCTTGCACACTCGTTATGTTTAATGGCGGATTGGTGTATAAATTTTCTTTTATCCAATAATTGGAGTACTAGAGATCTTTTTTTTATCTAAACAGGTAGGAAAGTTAAAACAGAACGTCATTGTTGTTAGTAATGTGAATTATCGCTAAATTTGGCGTGTTTTGTTTCTTAATTTTTGAATTGACTCGGCCGTTACTTGATGGAAATCCATGGCAAATGTAAAAACTTCACTAACGATGAGATTTCTACAATGACTTCATCGCTAATTTACCTATACTGATTAGGAGCTATATTGATTGAGTTTGCATTTATCGATGGATATATTTCTCTTGTTTATTATTCGCAAGTGATCTCCATGGTTCGAATAATATGGAGAGAAAATAATAATTTTGTGAAGTGGAAAAGAAACAGAGAGTCAGTAGGAAAATTTACCAAATCTTTATGTGGTCCTAAGCATCACGTAATTGTGTGAGTTCCAGCTACGTCGGTAAACCGTGATATTTTCTCGTAATTTGTTCCCCATTTTGTGGAACTACGTATTTATACCGTAACCAAAACTAGTAAATATTACTTCATAATAGTGCAGAGCCGGGACTAGGATTCTAGCGCCTGTGTCGAACATTTAGTTAGTATATTATGTACTTCGTTGGTATGTATGTAGACTGTCCAGTTTTCGATGCTTTGCGCGATATCTCAGTTATCTTTGGACATGAAGTACTGCTGTTTTCACATTACTGCCTGACTTTCTTGCGAAACGAATAATGCTTCAAACATAATTTTCACAGTGCTTCATGTTAACGAGCAATTACAGAAATAAAATGCGTACTTCAGTGTATTAAACGTACAAAGTTATATAAGGCTCCGTTCTCATCCTGCCGATAAGTTGAAAAGTAACCAAGATTCGGGAGGTGCTCAAAAAGTGAGAATTTTTAACTTCGCCCAGTGTAGAATATGAATCACATTGTATACCGATATTACCGATGCCTTCGGAATGTACTACAGAGGTGATATAATAATAAATAACTTGGGTGACTGATAACTGCACCGCATCGAAGACAGTTAATCGATGGCACGCGGTGGAGCTATCAAGAGCTTGATACAGTAAACATCGAGTGTTTTATTTAAGAGTGTAAAGACGAGTGAAGGTGTAAAGGGATATATTACACCCAGTATCTTTCGAATGATATATCAATAATTTGAATTAGGACGAATTTGATTGTTTTAGAGGAGTCAGATAAGGGCGTACCCAGCGAGGGGCAGGGGGGGCAGCTGCCCCCCCCTCCTAGAAGTCATCCTGCCACTTGACTTTTTCCCGAATACTGAAAATTTTGTATCTTAATCATGATTGAGCAAAATAATGATGTTTCATAAAGAAAGATCTTAAATCTTTTTGTTGAAGTATTGTGTTTTTATATCAGTTCTGATTACAAGTTCATAAATAGCTTAAATAAGTCGCTTATCGCAAAGAACATAATTTGATCGCAAGAACCAACAAAAAAAGTAACCTAAATTGCGATAAATCGCGGTATCTGGCAACGCTGTTGCTATCGTACCCGTATACCCGTTTGTATATTCGATGTGGTTTAAAAACTTGTGATGCTTGTGAATATTTTATTTGCGATGAAGTCGCAGATCTGTATGATGATGAACTAGAAATATGAGTTGATACATGGTTATGGTTTGACACTTTTGACAGGTTTATGAACGTGTGACAAAATCAAGAACAAACCTAAATACGATCGAAAAATAATGTATGTTGTGATTTACCAATGTGCCTACCTATAGGTATAGGAAAATTCACCTATATTCATTTTGTTTTGTTATTTTTTCATTCTAAACAGAATCTGAATAAATAAAGTTTTCTACGATTTTTTATATGATGATATAAACTAACTGAAAATGATGGAATATGATCAAAAATGTCGCTAAATCACGAAAAAAAGTCGCTAAATTTCCAAAAATTTCGCCTGCGGCGGGCTTTCTGCTCGCTTCGCTCGCTTTGGCGACTTCTAGCGGTTTTTTTCCTAACTTTTGGCGACATATCATCTTCAGCAGCTGGCAACACTGTTTGTTACATTCAGTACGCTTCGGAGAGTAAAGACCTGGCTTAGGAGCACTATGGGTGAGACAAGGCTGACTGGATTATGCTTGATGAGCGTACATCGGAATTTTGTGGAAGAAAAAAAATGGTGGAAACAAAAGTAATGGAAAAATTTGCAGCGAACCCGAGAAGATTATTATTAAGATGAAAATATAATAAAGAACAGTTAATTGAAATACTAATGTTTATTAAGATTTAAAAAAACGTCTCAGTTGAAGCATGGCATGTCTAGTGATTGATACTGATTCTCAGTAGTTTCTAGTTCCCTTGCCTAAGCTGCCCCCCCCCCTAGTTCAGATCCTGGGTACGCCCTTGAGTCAGAACATATATTTTTCAAAACTAGTCCAGTTCTGATTAGGATTATTGGAAAGTGAAACTATTACAAGGGCGAAAATGGCAATATGACTCCAGTGTTCTCGTGGACCAACTTTATAATAACTTCAATCAATCAATTGAAATAATGGGAAGATATTCAGAACAGAATTTGATTCATTCTAACAAGTACAGCCATAACTAGCTTATGCCAAACTAACAGAAAAACATCAACGGTGATAGACCAATTGAAAGACAGCTAATATTTTAGCACACGTTGTCTCTGGCTTCTGATTGGTCAGAATATGTGATGAGTGAAATAGTCAATGGAAATGTATGTAGGTGGTGTTGGAAAGTGCCGTGAGAAATATATATTTTTCTAACAAGTGCGCAAAGTGTTACCTTTCCGCACGTAACATGAGAGGCGAACGACGCGTGCGGAAAAGGCACTTTGCGCACGTGTTAGTAACAACATTTCTCCTACGAGCTTCATATCATATAACAACAAAATAAAAAAACCGGCCAACCCCAAAAATGGTGCCAACTTTCAGTGGGTTTTGATCAAGTGCCTCTTCCATAAACCTGGAAACTTCACTTTTGTAAAAAGTTTGACCTCTCGGTCGGTATCCCACATTTTGCTTCATTAAAAACGATGTTAGATTGAAATATTGACACAAATTCAAGTTTATTTTGACTAAGAATACTTCTTAACATTGAGTAGGTAGGTACTTACTCCATAAAGTATTTGGCTGATATGTTTTTTGTGAATCTGCAAAATATGATTAATCATTACTCAAATGTCTTTTCACCAATTTCAATGAAACTTGGTGGTTTCATTGAATATTACATGGAACTTCTTTTGATGTGATTAAATTCAAAATACTATTTTCAGTGGCGTCACAGTGGGTTAATTTATCAATATTTACGGTTAATATCATTGTACGTCACTGGTTTTTCTGAGTTCCATATTTTCATTAGATTGAACAATTGAAATATCAGCTTTCTTATCCTCTGTGTTTCTTTTTTGGTACTTTTTATCCTGTTTTTCTTTTTTGGGACTTTTTATCCTGTGTTTCTTTTTTGGGACTTTTTCACTCTCCAACCATCCTGAATTTTGGCACCATGAAAGCTTATACAGGGGCGTTATAAATAAAAACAATTGATACTTCCAACTTCAACATCCTGTATATCATCCTGAGTACGGTATTTTTGGAAAGCTCTTTCCAATGGTGAGGTAATATACATATAGGACGTTCTATTGAAAATGCATGCACTTTTTGTTGCTTCCTGTATATCTTCCCAGATAGTGGAAACGGATCTTGTGTTTCGAGAAGGAAAAAAAACCTATGAATGTGTTTCATTCTTTTTTTTTACTGTCAACAATAAGTTACAGGGGGTTGTACTTATAACGTGTCACCCGCTATATCCAACTCTTTTTCACCTTCCCCAATTTCCTTTTACTTTCCATATCGACACTTGTTAGTCATAGATAATAAACTTGCTCGAAAATTTATCGTCAAACGATGACATAACTGATTAGTCATCTAGTCATTAGGGTGAATTGGGTGAATCAAGCAATATATCAGTCACATACCAAACTTTGTCGTGTTCGGTCGATTTAAGCGGTTCAAAAAAGAACTTTTATTCATAATAAGTGAGGAATCAAAATGTATCTTCCAGTTTCGTGATTATAATGCGATTGTGTGCGTGGGGTTATGATTTTGTGTGTGTGTGTATGTGTGTGTATGTGGTAATTTGTTACGCAACATCGAAGTTTGTTGCCATTGGACATACACATTGTCCTTTTTCAAGATAGTAAGTGTTTTTTCTATATGAACTTGTGAGCTATTCATCACGTGAGGGTTATTTTTCATTCAGTTTATTCATACGTACAGGGAGGGTATTTCAGACTTAACTGTACAGTTTGTCTAGTTTTTGATGCTTTTTCGCGATGAGTGTTACGGTATTCACATTACTACCTTACTTTTTTGCGAAACGAATAACGTCGCAAACATAATTTTCACATTCCTCCATATTTTTGAGATAAATGGACGAAGTTGAAAATTCTCACATTTTGACCACCTCCTGTATGTTGGTTACTTTTCAATTTATCGGCAGTATTATAACGGGGCCTTGTATGACTTTATACGAATAATACAGTGGCATACTCATTTCATTTCTGTAATCGCTCATTATTAAAAAAGGAACCCAACATAATTTCTTTCAAATGGGACACTCTGTATATTTCCATCCAGTTCGATTCAGATTTCCTATAGCTCATCAAAAATATATAATAGTTCAAATTGAAGATTTTTTTGGCTCCATTTTCATCAAATGAGCAATTACAGAAATGAAATGATTACGTCACTGTATTATACGTAGAAAATAATATAAGGCTGACTTCTCATCCTGCCCATAAGTTGAAAAGTTACCAAGATCAGAAGGTGCTTATTATAATAATAATAATGTCCTGAAATAGTAACACGTCATCATACTGAAAATATATCGAATAATATTAATTCACCTCAATTAACGAATCCATCGGAACTTAACGCAATAATTGAAATCACATCACGTCAACGTCAACTCAAACTTGCCGAACATAATAGAGAAAAGCCACGGTCATTCTGGTGACAGTGAATATACCGCTTTTTCAGCAACCGACTTCCGTGAATAACCATTTTTCAGGAAACAACCGAACATTTCATATTAACGAAACGGAAAACTACTAACCAAAATAACCAAGATCATTTACGGAACATACCCTTTATTTCCTAAAATGTCACAAATAATCACCCCCTGGAGTTTGTCGCACTTCTTCACTAACACCCTGTATATAGTTTCTCATATTTTTGAGATTTAGCGAGCAGTAATATTAATCTTGCAGAGTTTATTGCCTCTAATAGAATGGAATCTTGTCAGAACTGCTCATTTTAATAGCTTTTGAACTTTTTTTAAAAGATGAATAGAAAAGTGTCGGTGTTTGTAGATTCTTGCTGACAGATACCAAGGAAAAATCTGACATCATGTCAAATTTGACAAGTGCACTCATTGTTGTTTGACAATATTATTCATCATCATACAAAGAGCACGGAATGTTAGTGATGAGCATTCTGTGAATCTGTGCGAGTTATACACTATAATTTTTCTACGTCTGTAACAGATAACAGCGACATTCTTGATTTCTTCGTCTTGTAGCCATCTGATTTCCTCTCAAGTAATACGCATCTATTAGACAAAGCTGTCATTGCTTGAAATTTTACATTCCATGGGCGATGAGTTTTTTTTCAAATAATGACACAATGGAGTCATTATGATACGATCAGATACGGAAATAAAATTGATGACATACAAAGTACCTCTTTGATGTATCGAACACAGTAAAACAAGAGCAATTTTGTCATATAGTCGTAGAAAAATGTTTTGCAGAGAAGTACTACTTTGCGCACGTTCGTATGTAAAAATATTTCTCACATTATGAGCAATACATGGTTTTGAAGCTAAGTAAGCTATGAGAATTACGCTACTTTTCATAGCAGTTGTAGAAAAAAATTATTGATCAGTTATTATTGATGATCGATAGTTTGTAAAGCCTGTGACTTGAATCTACAGAGGTGTTACTAGATTGCAGTTTTTGGAATGTAATAAACGAATTAATTCAAGGTGTATACGGCGGTGAACAACAATACGGGCGATCTGATGGCGGTCAAAGAGATCGCCTTGCAGCACAACGATACTGCGACGATCAAGCGGGTAGCGGAGGAGATGAAGATTTTGGAGGGGATCGTGCACAAGAACTTGGTCAGGTATTACGGCATGGAAGTACATAAGGTAAGAACCGTATGTAATGACGGGTCATTAACAATTGATAGGCGTGTTCTTATATCAATCGATGAATGGTGGGCATGAAACATGAATTCATCAAGTAATATTTCAATTCACCAAACCACATACATTCGAGTATGTGTATTTCTGCTGACCATGAACCACTACTTTTCTGGTTGAACGGTGGCTAGCGCATAGCTCGTTCAACTTCATAGTAAAATATAAGAACACGCCTACTGTTGCAAACGAAATACAGTTCCAAATATTAATATAATGAACAATCAGCAATCATCTATACTAGCTGTCTGATGTCAAACTTTTGGGCTTTTTCATCTCTCTAATTCTGTGCCCCTTGTCTGACTGTTTTGAAGGTTGGTTAATCTGTACTGTGATACTGATAAGTATCTAATTTCTTCTCAAACCAAATAGCACCAATGAATCAAGCTAATATAGCATTCCATGAACAACAGTTTCTTCTTCATCCGCAATAGATATGGTTAGTGCTTCCATTGAAATATACAGTATGATGCAAATGTATGGAATAAATTCATTTCAAAACAAAACGACTTCCGAAAAAAATCCAAAAAGTAGAGTTCAGAACTTTTTTATCGATGTATTTTTTCAACTAGACGACCCTTCGATGTTCAATTCTCAGTAGAAGATCTCTGCAAGATTCAGTTAACCAAATGATAATCCATTTTAATTTCAATCTTCTTTTGCAAAATTTTGACTATTGGATAGACGATCAGTAGACCTTTCAAGCGAGATGTCACATGACCCCTGTTTGTATTTTAAAAAACCGTCCATTACGTCATTACTCCAACACCGGTGACGTAACATCTCTAATATGAATGTCATGAGATGAGGTTTCAAAAATTAAAACTCACGTGTTTTTGGAATTTCTTCAAATGTCGCCCATTTCTGAAATAATGAATTTATTCCATACATTTGCATCATACTCTATATTATGATATACATAAGTTGTTATTAATACTCCAATATACCAGGAACATGTATAATTTCAAGCTTGAATGAATAACTTCGAGTAGATGTCTCTTGGATACAGAAAACTGTCGAAAGCGATATGTGTCACAAAGGTTTACTGTTCCACTGACGGTATTTGGACAATGAGGGCTAACATTTTATTGTCCACCAAACCGCGCCACCGAAACTTGTGGTCAGGGTTGGTAGAACTGACAAATATATTTGGCCCTTTGCTACGATATCTTCTCGGTCAATGTAAGAATTTGTCGTAAAGTTACACATTGAGAGTAAAAAAACGTAAGACGGTTCACGTCTTTCGATGACTTGAGTTTTTCCATTTATTCAAATATTCTACATGATTTTTTTCGAATACTTTCTTTTAAACAAACCATGCATTTGACATTGGCCTCACGTTCTAGTAGTGCCAACTGGTAAGACAGAAAATGTTAGCCCGAAAATCAGTTTGACTCATTGAGGTTTGACACTTCTGTCATTAAGAATTTATATATTAGTTGCGTTTTATTTGTTCCATTCTGGTAACGGTGGTAGGAACAGAATAACGTTTACAAATATAACGAGAAATTTCATGACCTCGCACCTTGCCTGACAGAATTGACATAATATTATAGAATGATTATAGATGATAGAGGTTATATTTACATATTAGGGCTCCGGATAATTTCAAAATCATAATACTGGATTTAAAAATCAAGAAAATGATTAAAATTATTGTGGTGCTTGGAGAAAGTTATCTGAGATCGGGAAAATTCATTTTACCTGGGCATGAAGAAATGAAACCTGTCCTACTTGAAAGAATCATGAACTTGTGATCCTCACGATAAAAATGCCTTGAAAAACTGTCTTCTATTTTCAAAAATCATTCTAATTTCATTTCTTGACAACTGTCAACAGTCATTCCATAGCATTCCTGGTAGTGAGACGGAATGAAAAGTAGCAACCGGAATCGGAATAGTTGTCAATAAATCGACACACCAAAGTGATTCCGGTGACAGAATTGGATAAATAAAACGCAACTATTGTGTTATGGCATTTGACAGTTTTGATTGAGTTTGTGTGGGATTCTCGATAGAAAATAAGCATACGCTTCCTATCGGAGTACTTGACAGCTGTCAAAGCGGCCTGTTTACTTTGCTTTCATTGGTTTACATTTGTTTTTTGTTTGTGCTTATTGGTCCCATGATCAAAACAAACCGCTCAGAAGTGTTCAAGTCGTTGCCGTCAGGTGGAGCGACGTGTTAATTTCTATCGCGAATATGAGCAAGTCTAGGATTAAAATGAGAAATTGTTACTTGTTTGAAAATAGAGATGGAGGTACTGATTACTTGGATGCCACTGATCTTAGGGAGCACTGTAGTCAATTTGTTTTACCTCCCAATGGTGATGTTTTTTTCCTACCGTGAAAGTTGATTGACAGCTTTGATTTCACAAACGTGGTAGCAAACGCCTGCTCTCTATTCAGTGAGTAGATTATAATTATAACCGTAATCATTTTCAGGATGAAATGTTGTTGTTTATGGAATATTGTTCGGAAGGAACGTTGGAAAATCTCATAGCAGATACAGAAAAAGGTCTGCCGGAACTACTAGTCAGAAGGTGTACCTTCCAGCTGGTATCCGGAGTGGCCTGTTTACACGAACACGGAATCGTACACAGAGATATAAAGACAGCTAATATTTTCCTGACGGATGGAGGAAATTGCCTGAAAATTGGAGATTTTGGATGCGCAGCTAAGATAAAATCTAATACGACGATGCCAGGGGAATTGAAAGGATTCGTGGGAACCCAAGGTAAAACTTTCAATATGTGCAACTCAGTTTTGGAGAAAATATGTATTTTCATGGTTTTCTTAATGCCATGTTCATTTTAAATACAGTGTGTTTCAATTAGCTCCACCACACCCCGCAATATTATCTTACAAATTCACAATGTTCAATTTCTGTTTGGGGAGAGCGAAAGTGAGTTCATGAAATTAAATAGATATATATGCATTTTCAATAAAACCTGAAACCAAGTCTTGAAACCACTTTAATTTGGCTCGGTTCCTTTCTTCTGTCTGCTGGTGTCTCACTAATCTCTATGGCCTGATCAACATTTTGTAGCGACGTCACACACATGTTTACTTGCCGTTCGCGTGCTTTCTCGAACTCCCTATGTCGCTCTTCCCTTTTCTTCATCAAAGCAGACTTCTTCCTCTCCAGTTCAGCCAACTGCGCCTCTTTACCATCATCGAACTTACGGCGTTGTTAGATGATGGTATTGACTTCCCGTTTAGCTTCCAAATATTCATTGTTATATTTTTTGGCATCCTCCATTACCTGCTGCCGACAGTTATGAGCGGTCCTAATACGCAATTTTATCTCCTTCAAGTACCGTCGAGTATCCATGAATACATGTTTATTTTTCTCTTGCGTTGGGGGAAGAAGAATCTTCATCATCATCTTCGACGGTAATGGAGGACACAACTTTTTCCATCTCTTGGCTCTCATCAGCTCCGATGGTCGCTTGAATGTTACCGGAACGGAAAGTGGAGCGGCGATTGAGATAGGTTGTACCGGTGTCGAAGTTTCTTTTTTCACAGTTTTCTCGAACACTTTTCTCAGCAATGAGGGCTTATCAACTCTGGCACGCTCAGGAGATGGCGAACGTAGAGGCCCAGCTATCAGTTCTTCTACAGTGCCCGCCTTTTTAATGACACCATTCAAAACAATGTTTAGGTTTCAGTGTCCTATTCTTCCCAAGCCGCTTGGATGATTTCTCGGTTTTTGGTTGGCTTCGATGTCGCCTTTTCGGGAAGCAATCGAGCCTTCATTTTATTCGTTGGCATAATAATTTCCTTTGCTTCCGAGCAACGGGCTTCTTCTTCGATGTGTCATCGAGGGTGGTACCACTTCTTCAAATGAAGACACGGCTCTCGGTCGTGGATCCATGTAGCCTTTTTTCCTCAAGTCGTCGAGGCACATTTCGGGAAATTTTGGTTATACCTCTTCAAATAAATTCGTCCAGAACGCGTCTTCAGCTACTTTATCGAATATTACATTCCACACAGAAGACATAATAAACGTAGATGAATAATTAACGAAAAATTACTGGAAAGATGCAAAATCCACAGAAAATCTCGAAAATAGGAATACGAATCGCGCGTGGTGACTTGAACTATAGCATAGCTAAGGCTAAGACTGATCAACGATTCAACATTCAATGCTGCTCCGAAGAGTGCCAACACTCCACAAAATTATAGAGTGTGCGCGTCTTCCGCTATCTCTCTCAAACGCAAAGCATGATATCTAGCCTACTCTCTTCCAACATCGATCGACTCTGTAACATAGCATTTCTGAGAATTTTATATCGCTTGATGAAGGCATCTCACTACCTGCGATAGACCCTTTTTGTATCTGTTTTGCACAAGCTTTGCAAAATTTTATTAGGACTTTGTATCATGAATGCCTTCGTTCTTTATACCTGATGTTCAGCATAAGACCTACAAAGTACAGTCATGAAATTAGTTTGAAAATGTTCACAATATGCTTGGTATCTAGATATTTCAGGGCATATGAATTGAGAAACACATATAAATGATACAAAATGTTTATTACATTCACAAACTACTACTTATTACAGTCATTAACAATTTTAATATTTATATAAAATACTGTAAATATTCATACAAGGAAATGTGAATCCACTTTTTGTAAATACACTCATACTATGTGAACCTCTATACAAATTTAACTCATTTTATTTTTATTTGAAGTTCATTTCATGACATTCTGTAGACATTTTATAAGAAAATCTAGACTCGTGTATGTTCCCTATTATTTATTCAGGTTTATAATAAATGATGGTCCCACGAAAGAGTTTTCGTTGTGTTAGGTATTAAAAATATTTCATCACCATGATAATATGGTAGGCCAACCTTATTCTTCAATACTGTGAACATGTCATGTAAAATACTAACGAAAAAATTCATTTTTCGAAATATGAATCCGCCTCTCTCTACAATTTGCTTATATTCAGCAGTTCTTTCACAACTGATTACTTGACACATTTTGCTTTCTTCATTTCACTATTAACGTATTTTACTCAATAAGCTTTCGCTCCCGTACCATAAAAATTGATTATTGGATCATTGGGAAATTCGTCTTTCATATTTCATAACACTGAGTTTCCTACAGGTATCCCAAAACTATTATCCATTTCATAATAATTGGAAGTGTCGAAACGATTCAGATTATCCTTGGTGAACTCTTCAAAAATGTTCTGTTTGAACTATTAGATTTGCAATGAGAGAATCTGTATCGGTATATAGCAATGACGCGTTTTGTTCTTGGTGGTTTATTATAGTTGACATTCGCTCTTTCCATATGACTAGCTACAAAGTTTTCCTTAAATATAGAGACTGTTTTGAAATTAGGTCGTGCTCTATGAATGCAATGACTTCTCTCCTAATATTCTTTTGATATGCTCCCGATGCGTCAATATTTTCATGTCACGACTGTTATCCATATTCTTCATTGTTTTCCCATACACATACAGTATTCATCAGAAACAATGGACCATCTGCAGGAAATTATGGTGTCTTCATAATAAATCAACCTGGGTTTATCAGGCATACAATTTAATAATAATAACATTTATTGATCCCAACTCGTTTTCGAAATTCAATCAGTAAATTATTATCATATTAAAAATCAATCAATACAATTCAAGGAACTTGTGGAATAAACTTCGATTATAAAATATACCTTGTGAACAATTGAATTTTATGGTCACTGCTTATTTCTTCTTCAGCTTATATGGCTCCCGAAGTGTTCACGAAAAATATGTCAGAGGGTCATGGAAGAGCAGCTGATATTTGGTCGATCGGATGTGTAGTTGTGGAAATGGCGTCAGGAAAAGTAAGTGGACTGGTCATTACATTGTAATGATGCCTTTTAATATTGTGATATAATTATCATGAAAAAATCAACCATTTTTTAATGACTGGTTCGTGCTTGATAATAATATTTCCACAAACATTTTTAAAAAAGGCAGTCTTCCAATCGCGGAGAGTATTTTTTTGGTAGTTCAGGTCACTAAGGTGACTACCATTTACTATTATGCGTTGCTGCAATTTGTTTCAGAAATTGATCAAATCATTTCGAAGTATTTCTTTACGTTCAATCATTGTCGTTCTAAATGAAATCCTAGTTAGTAGGTGAGAGGAATAATAGTGTCTGTTCATTGACCCCATATTTGTCAATGGCGTTACTTTACTGAAACCATTGAGAGCTCATTTGTATTTGTTTCAATAGATTATTTATCAGTATGGACAATTCGAGGTTGAAGTTTTAAAACGTCACCTCAGACAAATGTGAATTTTGATTTGATTGGCTAATTTCAAGTTCGTTAGATGTTGGTAAGGTGGGTTGATGGTTTTTTTGATTTTGTTCTTGCATTTTGCACTTCTACAATAGGCGACTGAGATTAAGATCGTAGCGCCAGAACGGTGAATGTCGGTACTACTCTATGGGCCATTGGCGGATTGTTTACATTGTTTGGTAATGGTGTTATGTTCATTTCGTTTTGAGTTTTCGACCGTTTAGCTTTGTTATTTGTCAATTTTCGAACTTTGTATTTTCCAGCGGTCTATTGTGTTTTGATTGAGCACTATATTATCTCTGTTCAACATCAGATAACGTCCCTACCTCTAGTTGAACTTCATATATACCAACATACATAAGCTGTAAGTTTTTATCATTATTGAACAAGAATTCTCATGAAAACCTGTGTGGGATGTTGATTTCCAATTCGAATATATGGCTGGGATATTCCCCTGATAGCATGATATTTTAAAAGAAAATCTAGCATACTTTTTGAGAATAAAATGTTCTTTCGAAGGTGAATTTAGGTATGCAGTTTCTACTTGACTTTTTACAACATAATCATCAAAACCCTGATTGATAAAATTCTTTACTGTTTAAAAATTCTACTGTTCATGAGTAAAGATATATTCAGTTTAAAATTTGTTTGTTTTTTTACCATCACCCCAAGAAGTAGGTATTATATTCATAATAGACATACATTTGAGAATATATATGAGTACATTTTCAGTGAAGTGTAAAAAACAATCTCTCATTATGTTCAGACACTTTTTCCAATCTTCAAGTTATGAATCCACACCTTTCTCCTACCGATCACTTCCTTATTTCCCAAATTATTAGTTTCAAATGCTAATTTAGACTGTCCTGATTTTTTAAAGGATTGAAAGCTATACTCGGGATTTTTTTGCTCAAGGTGAACAATCAGGTACACAACAATAATGACTCATGTTTTTGAACGTTTATAGAAGTTCTCAAACAAAAAAATAGACAATTAAAACACAACTACTTCTTATACAAAATACACGCAAACTAATGTAAACAAAGCAATCAATGGCCCATACGTTAGTTATATTAGACAACGGTAGAGGGAGTACTCCTTAGCATGAATCGCCTATAGCTATAAATATGTGAATTCTTCCACACTCCTTTCTCAACAATGAAGTGAATTTGGGGCAACATGCAATGGCTTCCAACAACTTCAGGTAAGAGATTCTTTTGAGCCACAATGGTATTAATCATTTTACAATCATATTCTACCTTCCCATTTTTATTTTGATTGCCATCATTTCCATGAAGTGCTAAAGGTAATGTTTTATGGTAGCATTGATGAGTTTCTATTTCATACTCAAATTCAAGTAACATCGGTATTTTTTATTTATGTATCCTGCTTTCATTATGTATGTAGAGTATGAACAATTGGACTGAGAGCTGGCTACTTAAAAAAGTGTGTCATCGATACATGGCTGATTCCTACTTTAAAAAGATCCCCTTGTGTAGCAAAGTTGAAATTGTGTTGTCTGGCGTGGTTTAAAGCAGGGGTGAACTATCAAATAGGTCAAATTTCGATATTGAAATCGTTATAAGATACAGAAAATTGTTGGCAGACAATTTGTTAATGGCTAAAATTCTGGCAGACAACGCAGAAATTGCGTAAGATTTTAAAACAAAAAATCATCACATGCATCAATCCAGATTGATTGAATATTACATTATTCCATTTAGTACGCCACGTGCATAATGACAGACCAAAAAAAACAGTGGCTAAAACCGTGGCAGACAGTTAACAGCGCGCTGTAGCTCGAGCGCTTTCAGCGAACGCTCGCCCCGGTTCCAATTCAAGTATAAAAAATTGAATATGAGTAACCATGACAAAGCCGGGCTTGTCAAACAAATTCGGCTAGATAAAATTATATTGATGTATTCTCAATCAAATCAGTCACCTTCTTATTTTTTCTTTTCATAAATTGAAAACGCGACAAGCGCTCGAGCAACAGCGCGTTGTTGATAACTATCTGGTCTGTCTGCCACGGTTTTACCCATATTTTACGGTCTGCCATTTTGCATGTAGCGTACTAAATCGAAGAATGTAATATTCAATCAATCTGGATTGATGCATGTGATGATTTTTTTATTTCAAAATTTTAAGCCACTTTTACGCTCTCTGCCAGCATTTTAGCCATCAACAGATTGTCTGCCAACGATTTTCTGCCTCTCTTAATAACGAATAGAAGCAATTTTTATAATAAATACCACGTATCTCATACAATTTTGATAATAATTTAATAATTTTAATGTTCACCCCTTTTTTATGTAGCCATATATGTAATGTTTGAACATAAGACAATTTTCGATTATGAACATGACAGAAAGGTCGATCTGGACATGAATATAAAAAATTTTTAGTCTTAGAATAACGAATGAATAACTTAGGTCGGAATGAAGGTCACTGGCTTACTGAAAAAATCATTTTTTTCATTGAACAGACCTCTTGCTTACTAACCAGGTTTTCATTTAGAACGACAATGATTGAACAAATGCGCGGATTCTCTGTTTCAAGGCTTGACTGGGGCTGTTCAAAATAAAGTTCCATACATACGTATTTAGTGAAAGTAGGTCATACTCTGGTTCAAAAATCATTCGTTTATATTTGTGTGTCAAATCCACCAGTATTATCAGAATGATCTCTTGATTCCAAATACGTATTTTGAAAGAACACATTGGTAAGTACATGATTATTTATATTTTTAGCGCCCTTGGTCAGAATACGACTCGAACTTCCAAATCATGTTCAAAGTGGGCATGGGCCAGAGTCCCGATCCCCCCGACGATATGATCGATGAGGGGCTGGACTTCCTTGACATGTGCTTCAAACACGACCCGAAAGAGAGGGCCACGGCTCGCGAACTGTTAGCTAACAATTTCGTCAAAATCGGCGAAGATTTGATCTGAAGGTTTTTATTTTCCATATGAAGATACTCGTACATTACCATGTGTAGCTTGAATATTTCTATGTAGGGAACTCTTTAAAGTTGTGGCATAGTGAGGGAGCTGGGAGCTGATGTCAGAAAAGTCTACCGATCTGCACAAGTTTTGAACTTCACTTATAATATGACAGAATATGCCACTATATAAACAGAATTGCGTTTCTACCACCTCAGGCTAGTCCATATTTATTGTTATTTAAGAGGCTCTGGAACACATTGTCAAGGGAGGTGTTTCCCGAGGCATATGATCCTCCAGAAATTTAATAAGAACACCAATTCCTACCTTAATTCCCTTGGTTCTCACGATGTTCTCTGAACATTACAGGATATCCCTTTTCGTGGGAACCAGAACATAAAAGAAAAAGAAAAACGGACCAATTTTGACCAATATGCACAAGCCCATGAATGTGTTCACTTTTTCTTTCCACAGAAAAAGCATACCGAAATATAATGCTAAGTCCAACTGGTCGGAAAATCGTTCTGCCAAGGGTTTGTCCACGGTAAATCTGAGTCATAATTTTGACCAGTCTGTACAAGTTCCAAAATGGTAAATCCGAATTTGTTATGTTGAACGAAGTCCTGGAATATTATTCTGCCAGCTCGAAATGGACAGAAAACCGTTTTTTTTTCGCTGTTTTTTATTTCTACCTTCTTGTTCACTATATATATGAGTACTGTTATTATGACATATCTTGATGATATGTGAGTTTTGATCACTATTTATATTATACCAACAGTCGATACTACTTCATGAATGATCTCATTTAAGAAGAACACCAATTCCTACCATATTTCCCTTGGTTCTCACGATGTTCTCTGAACATTACAGGATATCCCCTTTTGTGGGAACCAGAACATAAAAAAAAACAGGAATTACTGTCTGATCATTCATGTCGTTCCTACTAGAAAATTAATTATATTTTATATATATATATTATAATTTTCCGAGATAAAAAGCATAACATTTCACCCAATGTGCACAAGCTCTAAATTTTGCGAACGACATCGTGACGACAAAGAAAGCTTATGCGAACTATTTTGCTAACTTTGTTTGGTCGTAAAAGTGTTCTGCCACGTATTTTCCGGCAAAAAATTCTTGAAAATTTTACCAATTTGCACAAGCTTCCGATAAGTTGAATAGTTCGAGAAAAACTCAAACTATAAATGAAACAGCGCCGCTGGTTGATTGATTGATTTATAGCAGATTGACCAGTCAGGGTTCAAAGCCCAAAACACTGCAGCCTTTGGGCCTATTGTATTCCTGATCATGCTGTTGACTCGAGGTGAACAGGTTCGCTACCTTGATGAGGTTTAGCAGCCCCTTCAGCAAATCTTTCGTTGGAAAAACCTAATGTGAGTTTAATGTTCCCAGAAGGTTGTATCTCCAGCGCGCTAGTACCTCGCACTCCAATATTACATGGGTAGCCGTTTGCTCCTCCTCATTGTATACCATTTTGGAACTTGGGCAGATTGGTGAACATTTTTCCGTGAAAATACTCTTGAAAGAACGACCAGTCAAATTTGGCAGAATAGTTCGGTATGTATTCTTTTGATGAAAAAAAAAACAGCATGCACATTTTGGGGCTTGTGCACATCGGTCGAACTACTCCGCTATTTTGCAATACTGATGATTGTTTATTAATAAAATAGGGCCGATTTGGGGTGGCAGAAAATTGAATTTGTTAATAGGTGTTGTTCTCGCACATGAGTGACATTCGAGGAACACAAAGACACAATATAACCTTGAGGCACATCAATAATGATAACTAATTAAGATTCGTCAAAAATTTGAATAAACAAAAATTGGCAGCTTCAGATGGTCTCCAACCTCACCAATGTGATCTGCTTCAAGGTTTACTGATTACCTGCCACTGGGTTATGGCACTTTTTTACTTGAAGAGTCGTGCTCTTTTTATATGTATAGATCACTCTTGGTTTCGCCTGTCACAGACGTCTTTTTCAAAAATCATCGAAACGTACCAATTTTAATATACGAGCGTGCAACAAATGTGAAAAATGCGTCTCGCGTGGAAATGCGTGAAACACTGTGAACACTTGAGATAGAGTTCGACCACGTTAACTTTGGGACACCACAACCACGTGACAACGCATATCCATATTCAATGCATACGCGACCACCTGCTGTCCCAAAGTTAACGTGGTCGGACTCTACATGAGTGACGCTTTCTTCACCTTTGTGTGCTCTTATAGAGGTGGTCCAGATTTTTGTATATTGATTTAAAGAAGCGATAGACAAGGACTTTTCTCAATGAACATACCTGCAAAAATGCGTCACAACTTGATTGCAGGACATTGAAGTTTGATTGTGTATGTTTATATTATTCACGAAGATGAAAATTGATATACAGACCGAAGATGAAAATTGATATACAGACCGAAGATGATTGCTGTAGTCATCTGAGTGGGTATTAGCTAGTATGCGTATACTTTATCTGTAATTTTTCGAATACCAAAGCAATTTTGATATTTCAAAATTGAGTTTTTGATAATCAACATTGATAAATCTAATAAAAATAACATAAGTTAGACATGAAATGTTAGGATGTGGAAACTATAAATAATGATTAATCTATTCTCTATTGACGAGGGAAAAATGGCTTACGAGCGCATCAGTCAGCCGTTTTAGGTATTATAAGTTATATTATAGAAAAATGTGGGGAATAATAGTTATTTATGTATTAAGGGAATTATGAGGGCCTTAATTACCGATGGCAAAGTTTGCGTCCCGAGGGCCTCTGGCCCGAGGGACAGCAATTGCCTGAAGTTATTGAGGCTCAGTAATTCCCGTGATACATAGATAATTTTATTTCTGACCTATTTTATTCATTAGATACCTTCCCGATTGGAAGTTAGACATGTTTTTCCGTATAGTTTCAATGTCATCAGAACGTCAGATGATGATCTTGACTACCGCGAATAGGAGATTCCTTATTGCTACGTTATTGCATGGTTGTTGCTATGCATTTCTCATTTAATTTTAGCTAGAGGGAATTATATCATCTATAACATCCCAAGGGAGTTATGACCCTCATTATAGATATCGTAACTATGACGATATAAGCTTATAATGTCACTGTCAGAAATAAACAATATTTCAGATTATTCATTCAAGAAGATGAGTATCTACGTCAAAATTAACTATAACTATTAAATTATCATCATATTATATTATTATATTCTCAGAATCTTGTTGAAGCCTCTGGAAAAACAATTTTAATCGGGTTTCAACGACCTGCATTCAAGTCTTATGTATGTATATTCAGTCTCCTTATCTTGCGAGTCCTTCTCAAGATAAATGTACCAAAATCTGGTCCATCGTGAAGATAGAGGCAGATTGCTATCGTTAAAGATTATACTCTCTAAGTAAGTGTAAGTGTATGATTGAACAATGCTCTTTAGGGCTGTGACAGAGCGGTGGCTGATCTATTCAATAATACACGGTGGATTTCACCGACTCCAATATTTGTAATGTCTATCCAAATCTGTGGTATTTTGGTGCGGTATATGAACTTACTACTGTTCTGATGCAGAATCCTAAATGCGCGAGATTGATTTTTAATTAAAATCAGTACATTATAGTAGAGTAGCGACATTCTATTTCAGTTATTCAAAGAATGATTTGCTTATTCAGATTTATTAATGATGTATATTACATACGACAACATCAATGAATTTTTTTAATTCCTGTCTTCATTCTGTTATCTAGCTGACAACTCGATAAACGATGCACACTAGATGATTTTTATGTACTTAATTTAATAACACATAACATACAAATGTGAGTGCAGTTTGTAGAGATTTGTGTACAATATTTTCCCACATACCTAGCCAGCACAAAAAACCCTGGATAAAGTTAATAAAAAACTGCATGCTTATCTGTGGATCATTTGCTGTTCTATCAATATTGAAATAATTGACAACTACCAGCTTTCACTTTTCAGTATTATTTTTTGGAGCAATAAAAAAGTATAGAGTACGAGACACAAGTATAACACGTTCTACTTGCGATTGGCTTCTCCTAGATTCATTCAAGGATCTCCTAACACACTCATGTTTCGTGAAAATAACAATTTTCTTTCCTTTTTTCAAATATTTTGTGTACCTGATTAGGGGTTTGTGGAGAAAAAACTGTTCATGCCTTTTCTGACTGAACTGGTATTGAAACTATTTCGTTTTGGTACCATTCGAACTGATTATATCTCGGAAACTATCCAAGACACTGACACGCAAAAAACACGACATACCTCAGTTTCTGTGATGACACTTTCACGTTATTATCATCATCTGAGGTTATTGGTGGCACAAATATTCTCACTCGTTTCTCAAGTGTTCTAACAACGGTCAACCAGGAAATATCATAACTGATGATGTCACTTCCTAAGCTGTTTCAATATTGAACCTCAGTTCATCACACTCAACTGGACTTTGTCGTTCACAAACTGGTTCCAGAGGCGCGCTTGTTATCTGTGCATCGCCAATATAATGAAACAACCGACGAAATGAAATTACCAAATATGACATTTTGGGATGGATAGTTGCAAGTGTTCTTCTTAAACTACTTTAAATTTTGTCACAAGAGGTGTGAATGATAATCTTTGGGTTGTCAATACAACATGTTTTCTTCCTGATTGCCCAATTGCTATTTGTTGTTAGCAGTTATTGTCTGAGTGTTATTTCTCGAATGCATTGTCGTTCATTTCAATTGAGCTCTTTTCTACATTGAAGAGAGGAAAGTTCTCTCCTCTTCCATCTATCTCTTCAGTGCTACCAACGTGGCCGCATTGAAATATGAAGAGATCCGATATCTTTCCTTGTCTAACGTCTTCTCTGCGCCACTGAACTATTTTCGATGTTATAATGATGTGACATGTCTATGTCATAACTGTCATTGACTGATAACCTCTCGAATTTTTTAAATGAAATTTCGAAATATACATATTTTGA